GCGAGCTGAGGTCTGGCGATGGCCTTGATCAGTCGTAGCTTGGTCGCTAGCGGCATCCGGCTGTGTCTACCTAGTAATGGGTAGAGTTGGGCCATGGCAGCTCTGGTCTTTGCGATGACAGCTTCTATGTGGTCTTTTCCAGGTGAGGGACTTGTCAAATACGATCCCCAGATATTTGACTTTGTCGCTCCACTGGATATCTCCGTCGAAGATGGATGCTTCGAGAGGTCTTGCAATCCTTCTTCGTTGGATGAAGATTGCCTGCGTCTTCTGGACGTTGATGCGGATTTTCCATTTCACGCACCAGTCCTGGATGTGGTCCAGTTCATCCTGTAGTCTCCTACGGATGATCTCCGGTCGTCGATGCTTGGCGGCTATAGCAGTGTCGTCTGCATATAGGGCCAGCATTGTGTCAGCTGTCTTCGGTACGTCGTGAGTGTAGATGTTGTAGAGCAGTGGAGCTAAGGCTGACCCCTGGGGTACGCCTGCTTCCAGCTGTCGTCTTGTTGAGTGGCATGTACCAATCTTCACCGTGAACCATCTTTGTGTTAGATAGCTCTGGATCAGTTGGCACATGTTTGCATCGATTCCGGCGGCTTCCATTTTGGCGATCAGTCCATCGTGCCAAATTCGATCGAAGGCTCGTTCCACGTCCAGCAGGACGAGGCCGGTTGCCTCCTGGAGATTGAAGCCACTGGTGATGTTTTCTGTCAGTCGTAGCGCTTAGAGTTCCATGTTGTGGGAGGATCTGAAGCCGAATTGCTCTGGGGGGAAAAATTTCCGGTTCTTCTGCCTGCTTCTCTAGTCGAACGGCGATAGCCTTTTCGACTACTTTGCCCATCGAGGAAACCAGGCTGATGGGCCGATAGTTCTGGGGCAGCTTCCGGTCCTTGCCTGGCTTGGTGAGCATTATAACCTATAACCAATTTTCCACGTTTCACATTTTTTCTCTAAATACGGAGCCCAATCCGGCATCACCACAGGCAAGCTCCTCTCATATATGACATATCCACAGACGTCAACGTCATATGGTAGATGGCGGTGAAAATAACGGGAGAAATAACTGTAAAAAATAGTTTTTTGGGAAAAAATTTCATGAAAAGCGTGCGTCATCCACGCCTTTTATGATCTACAATAATCTACCAGACTATCCTCTATAAGTTTCAAGTGAAAAAACAGTGAAATCCGAAGTTATACAAGACGCAACAGTACCAATTTCTAGTGTATACGCATTTTCCCATGTCCTACGTAAATGTACAAGAATAAGTATTTTAAGTGCAATTATCTCAAAACTATTTATTTGGACTTAACATGAATCCACCTGAGGTACAGAGATAGAAGATGCCACGTGCATCATCATTCATAGCATGACACTTCAAAGAAGTCAAAATAATGAGATAACGAAATAAAATTAACAACAAAAATTTCAGTTATAAAATAGTTTCTATTCAATTGTAGTAGGGAATAATTATCAGTAACCTGGGGAGTTTTTTATTATCATTATTTACCTAGAGGAAGAAACGTAAGTTATCCTTACTTCTCATTAGAGGCACGTGTCTCAAAACATATGAGCATCAATTGGGGCGATCATCCCTAACCTTCAAATGAAATATTCATTGAGTTGAAGCGTGGGAATCGGTAAGAGACACTGCGCCTAATCTGGAAAATAATTTGTTGAGCACGCGTTTATTAAACCCCCTTATCCAAATTAATTAGGGATCAGAGTTGACAAAAGATCGGATTATAGATAAAAAATCAAGTGGGGTGCCGTTCGCTGCGTTTTCGCTTCAACGCGCGGATGGGAAACGGACACTCACATTTTTGGTTAAGATAAGCCTCAACATGTGGATATGTTACTGAATGTTAGGATGCTACAGGCAAAACAAACATTGATTCGTATTCTAACTGAAGATAACGAACGATATGTTATATTCTCTGTCCCGAAAGACACCAGTCTCATCTAAGGGGTAGTGGCAGAACACAAAACCGAATTTAGAAGTCCAGAAGAACTATAGTGTTCAGTTCTGCTACTGTCTCATACTGAGAGTATATACATTGAAGTTATCCAAAATCAGTGGCTCTCCATAGATGAAGACATTAAAGATCTAGACATCAACAAACTTTGTTCTAGTAAACCTCCTCCACCTGTACGAGATGGTTTTGATCTATTAAATACCTGGAAGAAGGAATGGTTAGAAAAGTCTCGTGAACGATGTCACTCAATGCTTTCTATTTTGGAAAAACTACTTCGTTTTAACAGATTATATAGAATACAAAGTGGGCTATCATAACTATCAAATCTAAATTCAGCAAATTTAATAGTGACTCAATAAAGCTGGGTATTGGAAGTGATGAACTTTGCAACAACACATCGGTTCGTAACTTGTTCCATAACCATGTCATCATAGCTATGCTAAGTTGAAATCAATTTATGGCAATAAAAACGAATTGTCGACGCAGACAAAAGTTAACTTGTTTGACTGCATCTATTATCACCGACCACGGGATTTTGATGAATATATTGCCAATTTATTTAAAGAACAAACTTCCGATGAGACGTGGTCATCACTCAGCAAATCTGCGTTTTGGAGGATATACCCTTGACTCGGCACCGAATAACACAATTTAGAAAGAGGTTTTCGTTTCTGGCACCCGATTTGTACAATAATTGAAAACTCTAGAAATGAAAAAGAAAAATTAAGCTCTTTGTCTTCGTTAACATGTAACACGTATTTTTTATGTTATTTATTTTTATATTTGTTTATATGTGCATGTTTTTTATCTGCCTCTTTGTATTCGTTGTTTTGGTCTTTGATCTTGTTGAGCATTCTGTTAATGCACGTCATCCTTCCATGCATAGGCTACGATGCTGTACAACTGATTTCTAATTTTAATTTTCTTATTGCCTTCCGTTCCTTGAGTCTATATTCTTTGGTGGATCTGTTACATGAAAAGTAGCTTACAATATATAAGAATAATCATTTACGACTCAGAAAACGGGGTAAACTATCATTGTACTCGTATAAAGTTTTACAGTATGCTACCTGAAAGGATACTGAATGATCCACAGTTCAAAAGTAATGTTGAACACTAGCTTTTATGTAAAGCTTTCATACTTTGACTTCTCTCCATCAAAAAAAATTGTATTTTACTGTTGTTTGTGAATCCTTGTAAATTGTCCATTTGTTTATATTTGAAATTTGACGTGTGTAAACGATTATATGTACAATGCTGCTACTGCTAAATAAATACCCTACTTCATGAGAATCAATTCACCCCCAGCGATAGTATCTCTATTAGGCAGTTATATCAGCCTCAAACAGATCCCGTGCTGGGTGTCATCCCTCTTGACTGGTACCCCACCCCTCTAGCGGATTACCATATTTGACGCATCAAAACACCTTTTGTCTTCCATCGGGCTGGAGTGTGCGTTCGTCAAAATGTCACAACGTGAATAAACAGGATGACCGATTAGATATTGATAATATAATGTGATAGTCCCTTCTGGGAAGTGAGCACGCTGGATATTGTAGTCGTTCTAAACGGCAACTGATCAGCAAAAAAGGTGTGGAATAATATAAATGTACCTCAGAGCCAGACTAGGTTAGGTCCAAATAATAGTTTTGAGATAATTGAATTTTTTGATATTTTTCTTGTATTGTATTGTATGCGACTTGACATGCGTTGAAAAGTCGTAACTTCCTTATTATTATAGATAGATAAACGCTGCAAGTAGCAAATGAAAATTCACAATATCATCATGAGCTTAACATATTGAACTCATTTTCGACAAAAATGGACTTAACCTAGTTTGGCTCTGGGGTACAGAATTACAGATAAGAGAGCGTAACATTAACACTGATAGAGTCCAATATTTCAATATTTTTTTGGACTGCTTACTCACAAATATATGGCGACTATGTCTTATAATAAGTTAGATGCAAGGTTATTAAATATATAGATATAGAATTGCTGCTGGTAGAGTTCCGACATGAGCAAAGCCTTGGATCGGATTGATCATACAATGAGGAGGTCGTTGATATGTAATAGAAGCAATATCGGACCCAAGACCGATCCCTGAGGAACACCCGCGCTGTCGTTGACGGATGAAGGGGAGAACACGTCAATTACGACGAATATCTTGCGGTCAGAGAGGAAGTCAGCGACAAAGCAAAGCTTTTCTGGGAGGACATAGGATGGAAGTTTATATGTGTTCTTTTGATCGTAAGCTTTCGTGATATTACGAGAAACGACTTGACTCTCACCATATATCTGGATATCTCACAATAGTGTTTGGAACAAAGGAGATACTACTTTGTTCGATAATTCTCCTATAGCATTAGAAAATACAGAATCGAGGGGATACCCAAAAAAAAATACAGAATTATTTTTAAAAGCTATTCATTTTCAACTTTTTCACAAAGTAACCTTATCTCCTTCAACATACTATGAAATCTTCCTTAGAAATATCTGACAGATCCTCCCTCAATCGACACTTCGCCCATTTTTAAATCGAGCAAGCCACTCGTGCACCTGAGTTTTTCCCATAGCATCATCTTTGTAAGCTATTTTCAACATTAAAACAGTTTCAGCAGCATTTTTACCAATTAGAAAGCAAAATTCCACAGCTCCACGTTGCTCACTGAGGTTTGCGATCGTAGAAACGAAACAAGCACAAAACAGCTCTAGCAAAAATAATGACTACAGAGGATCGACAACTCAGGTGGCAACAATGAGTTGCGCTGTGCGCCGCTAGGGGCAGAAATGTGTACTACACAAGCTCCGCCCACTACAATGCTATTCCGGTTATTTTTAGGTACCTCCTCGTACATTACCCACTACGACTTTTCAGTTATTTTAGAAGACGAACAGGGGAAATTGTAATAAAATTTTGTACTCAAACTAAATATACTAAGTGACATATAAATCCGAACACCCAGTTTAAATGGTTTTATTTTAATAAAATTTTGTATAAGTACTTAATGAAGCATAATAAGTAAATGATAAAAATTTCAAAATGATTGCACTACTTTAAAGCCCTTTGACCTTGAATAATGTGTGGATGCACCCTGATGTGCTACGCATTCTCCAACGCGCCTAGGCATGCTTCTGATCAGGTGGTCAATGTCCTCCTGTGGTGTCTCATTCCAGGCAACCACCAACTCCTCTCGAAGTGCTTCTAGAGTCTGAGGAGGATGTTGCAAATTGAGCAGTCTCCTACCCATCATATCCCACACGTGCTCAATTGGGGATAAGTCGGGAGATCTTGGTGGCCATGGTAACAATGTGACATCATTATGTTGAAAGAAGTCTATTGTGACTCTTGCAACATGTGGTCGGGCATTATCTTGTTGGAAAGTTGGATCTGCCAGGGTGTCAAGATAGGGTAAAAGATGGTGTTCTAGAACTTCGTGGATATAACGCTGCGCGTTCATGTTACCTCTGATGAAGATTAAAGGTGACCTGGAACCATAAGCTATAGCACCCCAAACCATAACTCCAACAGTGTGATGAACATGTCTTTCAACAAAAAACTGTGGATTCCTCCTTTCACCACGTCGCCTTCTAACCCTGGCACGACCATCGTGCATGCCTAAACAAAATCGAGACTCGTCATTAAAGACAATACTGTTCCATTCCTGATCCCAGAGTGACCGTTGTCTGCACCACTTAAGGCGATTACGTCGGTGTTCTCGAGTTAAAGGGAGGACCCAGTGTGGCCGGTATGAAAACAAGCCAAAACTTCTCATTCGTCGGTAAACACTTCGCATGCCAATAGGTCTTCCGTGTTCTGCAAACCATTCATTTGCAATGGACCTGGTAGTGGAGAAACGGTCCCTTAAGGCCAATAATCTTAGGCGGCGATCTTCACGGTCTGTTGTTCTACGGCGGCGTCCAGTGCCCCTTGCTCTTTGCGTACGGCCTTCTCGAAGCCATGCCTGATAACACCTAACCACAGTGTCTACACTTCTTTGCACTCTAACTGCAATTGCCCGAAAAGAAAGTCCAGCTTCCCGAAGTCCCACTATACGGCCCCTATCAAACTCACTCAGTTGACGATATCGTACAGGTCTCCGTACTCTAGGCATCGTAACCGATCGTAAAGAATGTCAAGGACCAAAATCCGCCAACGTTGATTCTTTACTGCGGCTGAAATATTCATTTTTAGAGCGTTAGTGAATTAAAAAAAAGCAGTATAAAAACCGGAATGTCCAACTGATGAGGCTGAAAATTTTTTCACTTGTTATTTACAGTAAGATAAATACATTCACCAACTTTTATTAAAATAAAACCATTTAAACTGGGTGTTCGGATTTATATGTCACTTAGTATATTTTATCACATTTTATTTGATATCGTCAGGTAAATGCAAACATAACAACCATAATCAACACCGTAACAGCACACAACATGTAGATGGCAGTCCTAGGTTCGCACTCGGATACTATGACGTATTCTTCGTTCCACACAGTGTTGTTTTCGGGAAGCGGAAGTTCCAACACCAATTTTTGAGACGAGAAGAAATCGAGGTCCAGCGAACATGCTTCAGAGGTATTGATGCAGGCTGAGATATGATCCGAAACGTCGTACACGGTTTTTTCTATGTTGAAATGCACGCGGATGAAGTTTTGTTGGACTTCGTTCTCGCTGTTGAAGACGAAGAAGTAGTATCCGTTCGAGGGTACTCTAGAATAACAAAAAAAAACTCTAAAATCTTAGGAAGTGATAATCTTCAGGAAACTAATACGTTGTTCTTAATTATAAAAAATTAAAGAAAGATTTCGTTGCAGAAGTGTACAAATTAACATCTTCTGACTAATTTTCAATTTTTACAAGCTCTTATCAACTTGGCCTGATGGATAGTATGTTATTGCATGGGACAAATATTGGAAGTGAATTTTGAACCTGTTAATTTTCACCACATCAGCTGAAATTTTGTATACACGTTTTTTTCGAGTGACAATACACAATTAATAAACCGCGGTTTTGAATCCAATGTCACGGATGCTACAAAATGAAAATTTATCATTCCCACTTATGATATGGGTGACAAATGAAAGGGCTAGATGAGAGGAACACAATGAGCAACGTGACATCATTCTAAATCCAATATGACGGCAGCCGCAGAAAGGCGAGTAATAGCTTCATGGTTACCACTATGATATGGATATCAAATGAAATGGTTTGATGGGAGAAATACAATAAGCGATGCGACGTCATTTTATATTTCTTATGGCGGTCGGTTTCAACTAAGGCATAGTACAGTATTCGAAGATAGTAAGTAAGTAGGTTGTAAGTAAGAATTTTTGCAAGTATTTTGAATTTATAGGCAACATTTCTGATTTTTCTGATAACATACCCAATATAGTAACCCTACCTTAAATGTGAATCTATAAATACTCAAAGATATTTTCTGCTGTTGACTTTGATTTTGGCTATGATAATTATCGGAAATTTGTTCGAAGCCAGGTTAAGAGTTTGAAAAAGATTTAAATGCAATCAATTTTGTTTTTTGAAATGAACCGGTAAGATTTTACTATCAAACCAGTTAATGATCCTCATGAAATCCTTTTCAATGATTTGCTTCAATGTTTCCCATTCATCAGATTTATAATGTGAGGGTGTCGTCTGCAAAACATATAACTTTTCCAGTACTATTAATTTTGAATAAGTAATTTAAATAGAGATTAAATAGTGGGCCTAGTACTGTTCCTTGATGTACTCCACACTTGATGTACACTTTTTTTGCTGAAAAGAAAAAATGCATTCTTAAAAACAGGCTGTTACCTTGCTGTTAATATACCTAACTAAAAAGTAAGAATATTTTTTACCGATTGGAAATATTTAAATGATAATGAACTTCCTCCATCTCAAGTTTTCAAATAAAAGCGTGTTACGTTTTAACATCAAGATAGAAATAAGCTATAACATGCCTTCATTTGAAAACTAGAGATAAACGAGCTTAATTATTCTTTAAATATTGCCGATATGAAAGAAATATTCTTGATTTTTAGCTCGTTTTATTAACAGCTAAATAGGGGCTAGCTTTTAGTGTAACTTTTTCTTTTATTTATTGGCAATAAATACACGAATTTCTCAGATTCTTGTGAAGAAACGTGATATTTCTACGTCAACATTTAACACGCAGCTTGTTACTTTTTACCACAAAAATGTAAAAAAATCCTATACAGGGTGTTTCAGTTTATTGTTGCATAACTTTAAGATTCGCTAGAACTTTTAAAATTAATGCATAAAGTCTATATAAACATGGGTCGAAAAATGCGTGGCTTCCGAAATACAGGGTGTTTAAATTTACTTTCTAAAATAGTTTTTTTTTAAATATTTCGAACAATATTTGATGTATAACAGTGAAAAGTGTTGAAAAGTGCGAATAATCAGTTTTTTTATTCAAAAAGCAAAAAATTGCACTAAGAAAATTTTTTCGGTCATTTTAATACACTACAGGTACAGTAGAGAGCGCCCTCTAGCGGCTACAGTAAAACTATGCCCATGGTTCGTTTTGTCGTACCAAAAAACCCTTGTATACCAATTTTCACTGTTATACATCAAATATTGTTCGAAATATTTAAAAAAAAACTATTTTAGAAAGTAAATTGAAACACCCTGTATATTAATACTCAAAATTGTGAGACTTGACATATAGTCCGAGATTAGAAGAGAGTTTTGAAATATTTTTTCTCCATGTGGATTACTGGGAATCGATCAGTTATTTGGTACTTATATACTTTTCGATTTTCTCGGTTGTCTCCTCGACACCCCTGTTTCAGCTTTGTGGCTAAAAATATGTACATCATGCGAGGGAGACTACCTTGAAGTGGAAGACACGATCAATCCAAGAAAATTCATGTTTTCTATTGGGAAGGTCCAATTTCGAAAGTAACTTTTGTCTTTTGAAATAAGATTACTATTTTTACCTGTAGGTGATAGTGTTATCTTTGTAACTCTCCTCCATATTCAGGCTGGGATGACACGCGGTGTGAGGCGTGAGAGGAAGATTCAGAATGAGCCCTGCACAGTTCAACAGTGCTTCTTCCGAACTGGAGAACGAAGACCAAAATTCGCTGTTGCTCATGTCGTTCAAGGTCGTTTCGTTGATTGTGCCTCGATGATCTGCTATCCCGTCGGGATGGAGACCCTGCCAAGATTTTTACTTATTGGGACATTTTGAATAAAAAATTCTTCAATGTGTTTTTGTCAATTGTCTTAAGGTTTTTTGTAATCTTCCATGGTCAACCTGATGACAATTGAAGATATTTTGCTTACCTGTAAGACAGATAAACAAAATATACTAATTTAAGCATACAGGTTGTCCCAAAAGTATAATAAATATCTCGGCTTCCAGGGGTGACCTTGTATTTGACGCTGACATTCACCTTGAAAGTCATTTCAAGGGCAAGATGATTTATCTAGTGGGAACCCCCATTTTTTAGTCATAGGCCAGTGTATATGGAGATTTTTCAGAAATAGAAAGCTAAACAATGTTTTTCCAACGGTATAGCTATAATAGGAGCTAAAATTACACTTCAAGGTCTATTATTGCTCTTTCATGGAATTTTGCGAAAGAGTAGATAGCTGGAAAAAGATGAATATTATAGAACTTTTAATGTGAAAATTGCAGAACACTTGAGGGTGATCTTCATTTTGACCTTGGATATGACCTTGAAGGTCTATTCAAGGTCAAATTGATTTGAAAAAAGACATCTTGGACGGAAGCAAGACATCTAATATCCGGCCACGAGATCTCTTTTTTCATTTGCAAAGATTTTCGTTCGCTTCAGTCTCATTCACAAAAATTGGTAATTTGACCTTGAGATCACCTCTAGGTGTGATTTCACCTGCGTTAGCTAAACATGAGATTTTACTCCATTCTTCGCGCTGGTATCAAAATTGGAGGTTTCCATTTCAAAAAAATCAATTCGAACTCGGCAAGAAGGTCATCATCAGAAGTGCCGATTTATTCAACGTTCTTCTTTAGTATTTTTCTTTTTCCACCTATCCACTGCTTCACAAGATTCCATGAAAAAGCAACAATTGACCTTGAAATAAACTCCAGATGTAATTTTAACCCCTATGATATTCATACCTTTGAAAAGAGTAAGAGTAAGTGTGACTACAGTTAAGAGAAGGGTATTTGAAGCTGCATAGCAGTATCGAAACCGCTCCTCAGTAAGTAAAAATAAAGGAGCGCATATTGAACAGTCAAAAATATACTAAGTGATATATAAATCCGAACACCCAGTTTAAATGATTTTATTTTCATAAAATTTTGTATAAGTACTTAATGAAGCATAATAAGTAAATGATAAAAATTTCAAAATGATTGCACTGCTTTAAAGCCCTTTGACCTTTAATAATGTGTGGATGCACCCTGATGTGCTACGCATTCTCCAACGCGCCTAGGCATGCTTCTGATCAGGTGGTCAATGTCCTCCTATGGTATCTCATTCCAGGCAACCACCAACTCCTCTCGAAGTGCTTCTAGAGTCTGAGGAGGACGTTGCAAATTGAGCAATCTTCTACCCATCATATCCCACACGTGCTCAATTGGGGATAAGTCGGGAGATCTTGGTGGCCATGGTAACAATGTGACATCATTATGTTGAAAGAAGTCTATTGTGACTCTTGCAGCATGTGGTCGGGTATTATCTTGTTGGAAAGTTGGATCTGCCAGGGTGTCAAGATAGGGTAAATGATGGGGTTCTAGAACTGTGGATTCCTCCTTTCATCACGTCGCCTTCTAACCCTGGCACGACCATCGTGCATGCCTAAACAAAATCGAGACTCGTCACTAAAGACAATACTGTTGCATTCCTGATCGCAGAGTGACCGTTGTCTGCACCACTCAAGGCGATTACGTCGGTGTTCTCGAGTTAAAGGGAGGACCCAGTGTGGCCGGTATGAAAACAAGCCAAAACTTCTCATTCGTCGGTAAACACTTCGCCAATAGGTCTTCCGTGTTCTGCAAACCATTCATTTGCAATGGAGCTGGTAGTGGAGAAACGGTCCCTTAAGGCCAATAATCTTAGGCGGCGATCATCACGGTCTGTTGTTCTACGGCGGCGTCCAGTGCCCCTTGCTCTTTGCGTACGGCCTTCTCGAAGCCATGCCTGACAACACCTAACCACAGTGTCTACACTTCTTTGCACTCTAACTGCAATTGCCCGAAAAGAAAGTCCAGCTTCCCGAAGTCCCACTATACGGCCCCTATCAAACTCACTAAGTTGACGAAATCGTACAGGTCTCCCCACTCTAGGCATCGTAACCGATCGTAAAGGATGTCAAGAACCAAAATCCGCCAACGTCGATTCTTTACTGCGGCTGAAATATTCATTTTTAGAGCGTTAGTGAATTAAAAAAAAGCAGTATAAAAACCGGAATGTCCAACTAAATTTTTTCACTAGTTATTTACAGTAAGATAAATACATTCACCAACTTTTATTAAAATAAAACCATTTAAACTGCGTGTTCGGATTTATATGTCACTTAGTATATGATTATTTCGATTATAAATAGATATATGTTGTTAAGAATTAAGGAAAAAAAATTGTTTCATACAGATATTTTAATGTTTTCTTTAATAACTTCCATCCCTTGTTTTCTGGGTGCTCAAATACTTTTGATCGGTAGTGTATATACATGGTAGCGCCAATATTTTCAACTTTTCGAAGTACTCTCTGGGGTAATTTTAATGCTGCTCCTAGAACCTCGGCAGATTTCGAAGAGTGAAACTATGCTGTATTGTGATTGCACATAAGCAAAGTAAACCATTTTCAAAACTTCAGTACTAACTTGATATGTAATATTGTATAGTAAATAGTAGGCGAGTTCATTTTCGATAATACTGTTGTTATTTGTTCTGTCCACTTCAACTGCTTTTTGTATTAGCTTGAAGACACTTGGTTATTATTATTATTATTATTATCAATTCGGCTAGACAATGTAGTCCTACGGACAAGAAAACACAGGATAAGTTTCTAGAGTTACATTGTATTTTCAAATCATTCCTGAGTGATAGTGATAAATCAGTCCACAATGATAAATCTTAGTAAACACTTCATGTGTAAGTCGAATTTTTCCATCATAATGCACAATCATATTCAGCTTGACTACAAGCAATGTTAATGACATTTAATGATATTTAACAGGAAGCTTAACATAACAAACATTATGTATCACAATTCGCTACTCGTGATGGAAACGTCCAGCTTAAATTGAAAATTATGTTTTTGTATGCAGACACAGATCTGGAAACAAGATGAGGTCAAGTAGGTTGACTCAGTTCATAATGGATTAGGCTCAGCCCAAGATAAGCCATCTTACAAAAAATTAGCTACGATCATGTACAACAGAGAAAGGGATCAAGTCATTTAAACAGACTCATACAACTATACTATAACTATCTAAAACTGTAATGACTCATCGATGTTCACGTGAACATCACTTAACTACCAGTAGTCGGCTGTTCATAGGCGGGGTATGAATGTTTAACATGGGTGAACTAGATTTGTCACATGCTTAATAAAGAGTGGTTTGAAACATATTGTAAGTCAAAAATTTGGGAATTACCTTTATTCATCGTCGCTTCCACTTACATCTGACAGTAATAAACTGTCGCTATCGCTTTCCTCGTTGAAATTGACTATAACTGGCTCTATGATGGTGTCGATGTGGTGGTCAGGCTGCCACATTTTTGTTTCTTCCTTCACAACATGACGGATAGAATTCTGCCAAGATTCGGGCGTTACTAGCTGTATGGAAGTCTCAAGTAAAACCTTAACGTCTGGTAATTTGAAGGTTGTGTTATGGCGCGCAATATAACCCTTCACTTGAGCCCAGATGAGCTCTGCTGGGTTCAGTTCACAGTGGTAGGGCGGTAACCGCAGCACAGTGACACCACATTGACGGGTCATCTCATGAGTCACGTAACTAATGTTCGCAGGTTTGTGCTGTTTAATTTTTTCATACAATTCCGCTTTCACACATGAATCGTCAAACGGGATTCCTTTTTCGCGCAACCATTGCTGCATGTCACTTTTTCGAGATCCCATAGTCGGTACACGTTCTTCTCGACGACTATGGTAGGAAGCATTATCCATGACGATCACAGAGTTGGGCTCAACTCGCTGAAGCACCCTTGAAACCAGCTCTCGAAGCACCTGGCATTCATTTAATCATGGTAATCACCTCCTTTTTTAGATACGAAAATCAAGTCACACTCTTCTAAAAAGCCACTATCGCTACCAATATGAGTTACGATCAATCTTTGACCTTTCCCTGACGGTCCACGAAGACCTGTTGACAAACCTTCAAGGCTTGCTTGTCGGTTACTCACTACGTTTTTGTCTATCCAGGTTTTTTTAACTGTGTGACCTGCATTTACCCATGTCTCGTCCAAATAATAGATTTTTCTGCTTTGTCGCCTATATTCAATCATTTCGCGTAGGTATAAAACAGTAACCACAGAAACCACAACAATAACAATCACACAACAATTCTTATAAAAACACACAATATGCGATCGCTCAACGAAACACGTTCCAATGCGTTGCCGACGCCTATGAGTCTGCCGGTCGAGGCGCGACTTTGATTCCATTGGTTCTACCGGCGGAGACCAATCAGCCATTATTTCCATCTCTGTCTGTGCTGTTGACCACCGCAAAGCCACAGAAACGACATATGTCGTACGCTATACGGCTGTACTGGAAGGAAGCCGGGATCGAGCTCTGATCACGTGTTGATCACGCGTATGAGTCATTACAGTTTTAAATAGTTGTAGTATAGTCCATAGATATTCTTTTACATCTGGCAACGTTGCCCCTTCCCATACCGTACAAACAGAATAATCAAACAGACCGTTACGCCTGCAGCTAAGACGAGATAGCAGAAGGAAACGCGTATCAAAAACATTTCTCCATCAAGTTTTATGATGTGTAAAATATGATGCGTAGAATTACTGACATCAAAAATTGAGATATACCCTCCCCAACAACCTCACATGTGTTGATTTGTTATCCCTACATTTTTTTTGACGTTGTCGCGCAATGTGCTTGCCAGACAGACTGCCTCCCGTCCTAACCGTGACGTATGTACATCCAGAACTGGCCGATACGACAGCTCCTTTGTCCATAGGGTATAGAAATTGGAGAACAACGTACCCCAGAAGGCTTTTACTAGTGCTACTATCCTCTAGTAGTTCGAAAATTAACAAAGTTCCTTTAAGATCCTCATAGCAGCGGTGCCTTGCCTGAACGGCTGCTTCGGTATAAAAAATACGAGCTTGACAGATGCCGCGTAATTCGATAAAATAACGGAACCAAAAGCATTTTCCACGAGTAATCCCATGTAGCGTCTTACACGCGCCACATAGGCGCCTTATAGGCGGATAGATACCCTTAGCCGCATCCGTTGAGAAATGTGCAAATCGTCCGTCGGTTTATAATAACTGGATGGGCCGAAACGTGGGATTATTCCTGCCCTGGGACCACTGGACTGGGACTGGACATTCCTGGGCCAAAAAGTAAGTACCTGTTTTATACTAAGTGACATATAAATCCGAACACCCAGTTTAAATGGTTTTATTTTAATAAAATTTTGTATAAGTACTTAATGAAGCATAATAAGTAAATGATAAAAATTTCAAAATGATTGCACTGCTTTAAAGCCCTTTGACCTTTAATAATGTGTGGATGAACCCTGATGTGCTACGCATTCACCAACGCGCCTAGGCATGCTTCTGATCAGGTGGTCAATTTCCTCCTGTGGTATCTCATTCCAGGCAACCACCAACTCCTCTCGAAGTGCTTCTAGAGTCTGAGGAGGACGTTGCAAATTGAGCAATCTCCTACCCATCATATCCCACACGTGCTCAATTGGGGATAAGTCCTGAGATCTTGGTGGCCATGATAACAATGTGACATCATTATGTTGAAAGAAGTCTTTTGTGACTCTTGCAACATGTGGTCGGGCATTATCTTGTTGGAAAGTTGGATCTGCCAGGGTGTCAAGATAGGGTAAAAGATGGGGTTCTAGAACTTCGTGGATATAACGCTGCGCGTTCATGTTACCTCTGATGAAGATTAATGGTGACCTGGAACCATAAGCTATAGCATCCCAAACCATAACTCCAACAGTGTGATGAACATGCCTTTCAACAAAAAACTGTGGATTCCTCCTTTCACCACGTCGCCTTCTAACCCTGGCACGACCATCGTGCATGCCTAAACAAAATCGAGACTCGTCACTAAAGACAATACTGTTCCATTCCTGATCCCAGAGTGACCGTTGTCTGCACCACTCAAGGCGACTACGTCGGTGTTCTCAAGTTAAAGGGAGGACCCAGTGTGGCCGGTATGAAAACAAGCCAAAACTTCTCATTCGTCGGTAAACACTTCGCATGCCAATAGGTCTTCCGTGTTCTGCAATCCATTCATATGCAATGGACCTGGTAGTGGAGAAACGGTCCCTTAAGGCCAATAATCTTAGGCGGCGATCTTCACGGTCTGTTGTTCTACGGCGGCGTCCAGTGCCCCTTGCTCTTTGCGTACGGCCTTCTCGAAGCCATGCCTGACAACACCTAACCACAGTGTCTACGCTTCTTTGCACTCTAACTGCAATTGCCTGACAAGAAAGTCCAGCTTCCTGAAGTCCCACTATACGGCCCCTATCAAACTAACTAAGTTGACGAAATCGTACAGGTCTCCGTACTCTAGGCATCGTAACCGATCGTAAAGGATGTCAAGAACCAAAATCCGCCAACGTTGATTCTTTACTGCGGCTGAAATATTCATTTTTAGAGCGCTACTGAATTAAAAAAAAGCAGTATAAAAACCGGAATGTCCAACTGATAAGGCTGAAAATTTTTTCACTTGTTATTTACAGTAAGATAAATACATTCACCAACTTTTATTAAAATAAAACCATTTAAACCGGGTGTTCGGATTTATATGTCACTTAGTATAGTTTATTGTACCTTCATTTGCGGGGCGTTTTGTTAGTACACTTTGATATTTCATTGTTTTGTGACTCGATTCACAGTCGTGCTAATACTTCACTCACCTCTTCCATTCCTCTATCATTTTCCCTGTCATCCATGTTGAAGTCCCCCAGTTTGGACAACATTATCTCTCTTTTCCTCCTCCTGGCCCTATCAATATCTTCACCAAACTCCACCTCTGGCTTGGAGTAATGCCTTCCATGAGTTCCTATAGCATCGCGTTGTTGCTGATCGGCAAACTCTTCATTTATTTTTTCCAAAATTGCTTCTCCTTTCGCGCCGATGACCCGCAACTTCCTCAATATCTCACTGACCATTTCTTTCGATTGGGAGGATGTTTGATTTTGCGGTTTTTCGATTTTGAGGTTGTTGTGTTCACCAACAGCGATGGTTTCCTCTCTGTGGTGATGAGGTTCATTTACCAACTGAAGTAGAAAATGAGAAAGCTTATGGTATAGAGATTTTGTGAGAGGCAAAAAGTATAATAATAATAAAAATATTTACTGGCCTAACTAGAAAGTTTTTATATAAATAACAGTAGCGTCCAGTAAACATAAGATACCTGAAAAAAGAATACACTTTGTGTTTATAAATACAATAAATTCCCTGTAAGTATACTAGTCAAAAGTAAGAATTACAGCAATTATCAAATAACATATTGATTTTTGGTTTCTACAAGTTTATGAATTTGTAGCCTTCGTTGATTTAAGGTCCATAACCTCCGTTCAATATTGAAACGTTTTTGCGCATTATATATACAGTGTGAGTCTTCATAAAGCACACATATCAAAATCAGGGAAACTACACTCTATTTCATCGACGGATCCCAGAAATCGGTTTCGCATCTTGAGGAAAGCAGGGTTGCATCCATACCATTATCAAAGGGTGCAGCACTTGCATGAAGATGTGGATTGGCGTGCGTTATGTCTACCTTTATTTTAATAAGAACAAGAGACAATCCTGAATTCTCGAAAACAATTCTGTGGACAGATGAGTCTCAATTCACGAGAGACGGCATCGTGAACTGTCGTAATTTACGTAAGTGGTGCCCAAAAGATGAAAACCCTAGGCTGAAAAAGGCTTCAACATTTCATGTGAAATTTTCTGTAAATGTGTGAGCCGCACTGATTGACAACTTTTTGATTGGTCCAATAATACTCCCGAGGACATTAAACGTAGAGATTTCTGGAGCTTTTGCGGACTGAACTGTCCTTGCTGTTGGAAGAAGTGCCGCTGCAAACCCGTCGAAGAATGATGCTTCAAATGGATGGATGTCCTGTCCATTACTCGCTGATTGTCAGGTCTTTTCATAATGGCCGCTGGATCGGTCGACAAGGACCTGTTGGGTGGCCGGCGCGTTCCCCAGATCTCACACCTCTCGACTATTTTTTATGGGGGTCAATGAAACAAAGGGTGTACAGCAGTTCCATAAACAGCAAAGCGGAACTTGAAGAAAGAGTTTTGCGTGTTGCAAACGAAATCAAAAATGATCCCGAGATGATTCGTAGGGCAACTCATCAAATTTCACTTCGCGCTACAATGTGTTTGCAGCAACGGGGTGGACATTTTGAACATTTGATGTATTAAGCCAAAATGATTATCCTATAGACAAGTCTATTTGATTTTATTTGTTAAAGATAGTGAATGATTCATGTAGGTTAGTACTGTTGTTTTATTCCTACTCTGGCGCTGAACTGAGTTCACTGCTTTTTGAAACGATGATTTAAAAACTTGTATCTAAGTAATAAACTTGCAATTTTTCACCACTAGGAAGCTAATAACATGTAGAATAACTTAACATTTAAGAAAGGTAGGGTAAATAGGACAATTTTTATTGAAATTTAGCCATTGTTTTAAAAATCATTGAAAAAATCGTGAGTTTCAGCATATTCCTCTTTATTTTAAATTTATAGCATTTAATTTCGTGGAAATTTTTACTTTACTGGTACGGCCTATTATTTGCAATCATTACAAAATTTATTCCAATATGATAGGACATTCAGTTTAAAAGTTGTAACGATTTATGTAAATAGGGTTAGCAGCTGACTCTAAAAATTTTAAAAAATTCATAGAAAATCAATTATTGTTTTTAATTTTTTTTTGATGATTTATCCTTCGATGAAATAAAGTGTAGTTTCCCTTATTTTGATATGTGCACTTTATGAAGACTCACGCTATATTTAAAGATTGAAGGAATAACATTATAAAATTTTACCCTAGAAAGTAGAATAATCTTCGGCTGATAGTTTTATTTAGTCTGGAGATCACTGCAGATGTTTCTTTGGATCGCGATTGATGGTTGTGGTCAATAGAATGTTAAGATTTTGGATTTTTTTCTTACTACTATTGAATGATAAAAATATACAGGGCGTTTTCAAAGTTGAGTCATTTATTTTAACTGCTTCTAGGACTCGTAAAAAGGGGTTGGTATACCAAAGATCACCTATATAAAAGTTGCATAATAAAAAAAATAGTAAAAGATTGAAAATTTAAAAAATGACAATGTTATTACACAGATTTCTTAATATTCTCAACCACTGCAGTGGTAAATCTTAGCGTTTTTCGTTTACTACTCTTATCGTTTAAATCATAATAAATTATGGCGTGAAAATGTTCTCGGTTGAGTTCCATTTTTCTAATAACTTGATGACACTTAAAAATCAATTGAGCCATTTGGACTGTAGCCTGTGAAATAGATCAAAATAGATATTCCAAAGTTCTTCTTAACCTGTGAACGATTATGGAATTCAATCGTCGAAAGTGTGTTATACCTTTTTTCGACTGCTGGTCAAACGAAGCGATACCATAAATGCTGCTTTACAGATTTTGTACGTAAAATACTTTCAAAAATAATCCACGATTCTCTTTCGATAAGAGGGGCAACCAAAATTTTAAAACGCTTCAAATAAAATACCGTCTTGACGAGTCTCTTCTGTAAAATTAAATTTGTTGGACGTAATTCACTTCTTATTCCTTCATCTAACTTAGATCCTTGATCATTTTATATCGAGTCCCTTGCTTAGCTTTTGAAAAGCTATATTCGACAATACGGTTCATCAAAGCCGGTGATCGACAGGGTTCGGTTCTTGGATCAATAACACTGATCAACAGCCAAAAAATATCCTAAATAAAATCAACAAAATATTACTATTTTTAATGTGCTAAAACCGGAATGAAACTTATTTTTTCATTAATAGTTCAAGTTTTAGAGATACGGTAATTATATGTGTTCCTGCTGTGACAGTGTTAATATACTGTAATTCACAAGAATGCACGTGCTACATTTTTATATTCGGCAAGGAAAGATGATGTAATCGGCATGATTGTGTTACGTTATACATACGTGTACATTATATTGTTTTATATTAGCCATTTTTTCCTCAGTTGGCTGACAGCGTTCATGCAAGATGTCTCGAAAGTGTGTAAACAATCTAGATCAGTTTTGTTACGTGTGTGGTGATGTGACTTTTGCGTCTCAGAGACGGTCTATTACTCCACTAATATCAAAGGCATATCAGCTTTATTTCGGTTGTAAACTAGGTGATCAAGACAAACAGTGGGCACCCCACATCTGCTGTAATACATGTGCTTCAAGTCTGGGGAGCTGGTTAAATGGCAAAAAACGGTCTATGCGCTTTGCTGTCCCAATGGTTTGAAGAGAGCCTACAAATCATATTAATGATTGTTACTTTTGCATGGTACCTTGTGTTGGACAAGCCACAGGTATGTCCAAGAAAAAAAAATCGGTTATTAACTACCCAAACATACCATCTGCGATGAGACCTGTGCCTCACAGTGACGAAAATCCTATTCCAAAACCCCCAGAATCCTACACATGCGAATCAGAAAACGAATCAGATCATGGCGATCGAGTGATTCGTCAGGAAGAAGATATGCCATCAACGTCAAGAGATCCTGATTTTATACCGAGCACGTCATGCCACCAACCGCACAAAATAACACAGTCAGAATTGAATGATCTTGTAAGAGATTTAGAACTTCCAAAATGTAAGGCAGAGTTACTTGGATCAAGACTGCAGCAGTGGAACTTGTTAGAAGACGATGTTTCGGTATGTGTTTTTCGTAAACGCCACAAAGACTTAGAACCATTTTTCAATATGGAGAATAACTTGGTTTTCTGCAGTAACATTATCGGGTTACTGGCGGCTTTAAATATAAACTATAACCCAGAAGAATGGAGATTGTTTATAGACAGTTCAACATTGAGTTTAAAGGCAGTGTTATTGCTTTTTTTAAATATCTTACCATCTCTTCCTGTAGGGTATGCAGTTCACATGAAAGAATCATATGACAATATGAAGTACCTATTGACATGCATAAAATACGATGAGCACCAATGGCATAATTGTGGCGATTTGAAAGTTGTTGCACTTTTACTTGGGCTGCAGCTAGGCTACACAAAGTTTTGCTGTTTTTTGTGTGAATGGCACAATCGGGCAAAGGCACTTCATTACACCAGACAAAACTGGCCTGTTCGTCAATTCCTATAGCCAGGTCAAAAAAATGTACAGCATATACCATTAGTAGATTCGAAAAAAATTTTATTACCACCACTGCATATCAAGTTTGGCCTAATGAAAAACTTTGTCGAGGCATTAGATAGAGATGGGTCAGCTTTTCAATACCTGCGTCAGAAATTTCCAAGACTAAGTGAGGCAAAGGTTAAAGAAGGTATTTTTGTTGGGCCACAGATGCGAAATATTTTGAAAGATACACAGTTTGAAAACACTTTAACAGGTATTGAAAAAACTGCTTGGAATGATTTCCGTCTGGTGGTCACTAATTTCTTGGAAAATAGAAAAGCTGACAACTATAAAACCCTTGTCAAAAATATGCTGTCATCGTATCAAAAGATGGGCTGTAATATGTCTCTTAAGATACATTTCCTACACTCACACCTGGACTTTTTTCCTGACAATTGCGGAGCCGTAAGTGATGAGCACGGCGAACGTTTTCATCAGGATATTTCAACAATGGAAAAAAGGTACCAGGGAAAGTGGAATCCTTCCATGCTTGCAGACTACTGTTGGACTCTTGGTAGAGATGCTCCAGAAACGATCCATAAAAGAATAGCAAAAAGACAGCGCATATAGTGATTCTTATAAGTATATGAATCTTGTTACTTTTTTTAATATATCCTTAAAAATAAAAAGTTTTTTTTTTCTAAACCGCAACTAATTTTTTTATGTCATTGTCATTGTTGGATTCAGCGCCCCAAAATTAACAAAGAAGTGCACTTTTCCCACAAGATACAATTAAAAAACTAAAATTTGTTGTCCAGTGTAATTTATTCACTTTTCAGTCAAAACGTCCCAGAACGCATTTGCAGAACAGAACCTTACGCACAATCAATAACGCCCCGTTGTATGTCTTCAAAGAGACCCTTCGTACAAACATCGACATTACATCGAACGACAGCCGCAGCGACGTTACCGTCAAGCGGAATCGCATAGCAACCCTTTGTTGCGTGAGTCAGGAGACCACAGAGTCAAGCAACTTCAAGATCGTGACTCGCACTGTGATCAAAATTAAATTGTAAATTCAGACCAGCCAAAATTATTTCAGTATACGAAACCGATCAAAATTATTTTTTGGAGTTACAAAATAATTCGAGTAGTCAAAGCAATAATGCTTAAGCTATTTCAAATGACTCACTTCTTTTCTTTGCTCTATTTCTTCCTTCCTTTCTTCCTTCTTTCCCTTTTCTCATTAAACATGTTTGGTATCTGGGTAGCAAGACCTGACAGACTAACAGACCGGCGAGACTTTTAACTAATACTTCTACGAACCACTCTGATAGGCAAAGACGAAAAGAGAAAAGACTTATTTGGAATACGGTACCTTCTTTTTGGACGATTTAACTCTTTGTTGCAGCTCATCCAAGATCTTCCTCATATGCTTCGCGTCGGTTATCTCCGAGTTATCAGCGTCTTCGACCAAGGTCTGGTTAGTGGTGCTATGGTGATGCAGCGGACTGTGAAACTCGACATCAGCCCGATGCCTTTTCATCTTCACCGGCTGATTTGCAGGGGCTTGGTCTTCGTCGGTGATGTCCGACACTGTTCTGTTAGATTCCTCTACGTAAGATCCTTCTTTGATCGCCTCCATCATTTCAATGAGTTCTTCGGAAGAGTTGTCTCCGATGTAGGCGCATTCGTGCAGGTGTTTGTGGCCTCTGATCACTATCAGGGATGCACCAGGCCACCTACTCAACACACCAACAGATTATTTTTGTTCCAGTGGGCTAAAAGGCTCGTGGGTCATAAATTCAACCAGTAATGTAATGGTTGTAATCAGTATGGACGATTTCTTGTGAAATGTGACAAAAACTTAGATAATAATTACGCGGTTTTTGTAAAGGAGAAACCACATCGAAGCTGAAACAAACATAAAACTCTTGTTTCTATCAAGATTGCTACATTTTGTTCGAGATTTGTTTTTGATTTCGGACCTTTTCCACTGGTTATCGCGAGGAAATCAAAGCACAGTTAGTCTTCAATAACCAACCAACATATTTTGAAACAGGAGCTTTTTTATTCTTAGTTAAGACTTAAATCTTTTGATGTGACACGAAAAACAAAACGTTTGCAAAAAGTTCTGTTTGACATGAGTTTGTGTCTTGTCCGTTTAGTGGAAAATCTGCTTAAGATGGTCCCCGGATTCCCATATTAAACCAGTGTTATGTTTCATGATACAAATAGTCAGGATATCTTCCGTTTTGCTTTGTTTGGTTTCATGCAATATAGCTGGCATCTCTTTGTGTTTTAATGTCCTTTTCTTTATTTTCAAAGTTGACCTAAGGGATGTTTGTTTCCCTGGGGGCGTGTTTTGAGTGACTTATTCAGTAGGTGAGGACGTCGTTTGAGTTTTACAGTTTTCCATGTCTGTTAGTTTTTTCTTAAATGTGGTTGTAATGTTCCATTTTTTAAAGAAGACATTTTAAACTGGTAAGAGTCTGAATTTTTATACCCAGTTTAAATGGTTTTATTTTAATAAAATTTTGTATAAGCACTTAATGAATAATAAGTAATCTTTAGTAAAAGGCGAAATATTTATCCGCTTTGAAGAGAAACCAGAGTAAAAGATAAAAATTTCAAAATGATTGCACTGCTTTAAAGCCCTTTGACCTTTAATAATGTGTGGATACACCCTGATGTGCTACGCATTCTCCAACGCGCCTAGGCATGCTTCTGATCAGGTGGTCAATGTCCTCCTGTGGTATCTCATTCCAGGCAACCACCAACTCCTCTCGAAGTGCTTCTAGAGTCTGACGAGGACGTTGCAAATTGAGCAATCTCCTACCCATCATATCCCACACGTGCTCAATTGGGGATAAGTCGGGAGATCTTGGTGGCCATGGTAACAATGTGACATCATTATGTTGAAAGAAGTCTATTGTGACTCTTGCAACATGTGGTCGGGCATTATCTTGTTGGAAAGTTGGATCTGCCAGGGTGTCAAGATAGGGTAAAAGATGGGGTTCTAGAATTTCGTGGATATAACGCTGCGCGTTCATGTTACCTCTGATGAAGATTAAAGGTGACCTGGAACCATAAGCTATAGCACCCTAAACCATAACTCCAACAGTGTGATGAACATGTCTTTCAACAAAAAACTGTGGATTCCTCCTTTCACCACGTCGCCTTCTAACCCTGGCACGACCATCGTGAATGGCTAAACAAAATCGAGACTCGTCACTAAAGACAATACTCTTCCATTACTGATCCCAGAGTGACCGTTGTCTGCACCACTCAAGGCGATTACGTCGGTGTTCTCGAGTTAAAGGGAGGACCCAGTGTGGCCGGTATGAAAACAAGCCAAAACTTCTCATTTGTCGGTAAACACTTCGCATGCCAATAGGTCTTCCGTGTTCTGCAAACCATTCATTTGCAATGGACCTGGTAGTGGAGAAACGGTCCCTTAAGGCCAATAATCTTAGGCGGCGATCTTCACGGTCTGTTGTTCTACGGCGGCGTCCAGTGCCCCTTGCTCTTTGCGTACGGCCTTCTCGAAGCCATGCCTCACAACACCTAACCACAGTGTCTACACTTCTTTGCACTCTAACTGCAATTGCCCGAAAAGAAAGTCCAGCTTCCCGAAGTCCCACTATACGGCCCCCATCAAACTCACTAAGTTGACGAAATCGTACAGGTCTCCGTACTCTAGGCATCATAACCGATCGTAAAGGATGTCAAGAACCAAAATCCGCCAACGTTGATTCTTTACTGCGGCTGAAATATTCATTTTTAGAGCGTTAGTGAATTAAAAAAAAGCAGTATAAAAACCGGAATGTCCAACTGATAAGGCTGAACATTTTTTCACTTGTTATTTACAGTAAGATAAATACATTCACCAACTTTTATTAAAATAAAACCATTTAAACTGGGTGTTCGGATTTATATGTCACTTAGTATAGAAACATAGTAGGCGGCGCGGATCGAACGTCAGTACTGAATCTTAACCTCACTCTTTAGTAAACTTAAATTCAAAGTTTCAAAACAGTACGTGCAGTGTTCTCACTACAGCGAATTTTTAAGTGCCACCAAGTCATTAGAAAAATGGAACTTAACCGAGAACATTTTCGGGCCATAATTTATTACAACTTTCAGAGACAATTATCGCAACAAGAATGCCTTGCTGAGTTACTGTCTGTTTTCGGCAACGAAGCGCCACATCAGTCGACAATTTCCTGTTGGTATGAAGAATTCAAACGTGGATGGGTGAGTCTTAGCGACGATTCCAGGGTGAGTTCACTAAAAACGGCGGATGTGTATTAATCTTCGTGTAGAATACTTCGAAGAACAATAAAGTCATTTAAAACTACCTACCGTGTTGTTTTATTTCCATATGCAAAACTTAAAAGACATGCCTCGTATGCTAACTTTTAATACGTACGCACGCTTACTGTCATATTTTCGTTTGTTCTACAGTTTTTTTATATATTTGTTTATTTTCTTTAACGGAATTCTTCACCGAGGAATAAACGCTGAATGGTTGGCAATTTGATTGAAGGCATTTTTTAACACCTGTTGATTTATTCCAAGGATCTGAAGAAATTGAAAGCGTATATTGAATCAAGAAATAATACAAAAACCTATTTTTCCATTTGCTCCCGGACACTGCACTAGCAGCCATGGTTATGAAATGCAACAATGTAAAAGAAGTTTTTGTCTGGTTCAAGAAATTCTTCCAAACTCTTAAATTTTAACCGTTCTTAACTCATTTTCCATAGTGCCACGATTTTTCAAATTGATATTTTTTTATTGTTCCTCTGACTAGTCATTGTTGTGTAGATGGGAAATATTATGTCAAACTGATTGACCTACTTTTAATGTATACGCATTTTATCTTTAAGTGATCTCATAACAAAAAGTTGATGAACGATATGAAAAGTAATGTATTGAAATTAATACATTCCTTATCAAAACAAATACAATTATTGGTAAAGTATACTAAGTGACATATAAATCCGAACACCCAGTTTAAATGGTGTTATTTTAATAAAATTTTGTATAAGTACTTAATGAAGCATAATAAGTGTAAATGATAAAAATTTCAAAATGATTGCACTGCTTTAGAGCCCTTTGACCTTTAATAATGTGTGGATGCTCCCTGATGTGCTACGCATTCTCCAACGCGGCTAGGCATGCTTCTGATCAGGTGGTTAATGTCCTCCTGTGGTATCTCATTCCAGGCAACCACCAACTCCTCACGAAGTGCTTCTAGAGTCTCAGGAGGACGTTGCAAATTGAGCAATCTCCTACCCATCATATCCCACACGTGCTTAATTGGGGATAAGTCGGGAGACCTTGGTGGCCATGGTAACAATGTGACATCATTATTTTGAAAGAAGTCTATTGTGACTCTTGCAACATGTGGTCGGGCATTATCTTGTTGGAAAGTTGGATCTGCCAGGGTGTCAAGATAGGGTAAAAGATGGGGTTCTAGAACTTCGTGGATATAACGCTGCGCGTTCATCTTACCTCTGATGAAGATTAAAGGTGACCTGGAACCATAAGCTATAGCACCCCAAACCATAACTCCAACAGTGTGATGAACATGTTGTTCAACAAAAAACTGTGGATTCCTCCTTTCACCACGTCGCCTTCTAACCCTGGCACGACCATCGTGCATGCCTAAACAAAATCGAGACTCGTCACTAAAGACAATACTGTTCCATTCCTGATCCCAGAGTGACCGTTGTCTGCACCACTCAAGGCGATTACGTCGGTGTTCTCGAGTTAAAGGGAGGACCCAGTGTGGCCGGTATGAAAACAAGCCAAAACTTCTCATTTGTCGGTAAACACAATAGGTTTTCCGTGATCTGCAAACCATTCATTTGCAATGGACCTGGTAGTGGAGAAACGATCCCTTAGGGCCAATAATCTTAGGCGGCGATCTTCACGGTCTGTTGTTCTACGGCGGCGTCCAGTGCCCCTTGCTCTTTGCGTACGGCCTTCTCGAAGCCATGCCTGACAACACCAAACCACAGTATCTACACTTCTTTGCACTCTAACTGCAATTGCCCGAAAAGAAAGTCCAGCTTCCCGAAGTCCCACTATACGGCCCCCATCAAACTCACTAAGTTGACGAAATCGTACAGGTCTCCGTACTCTAGGCATCGTAACCGATCGTAAAGGATGTCAAGAACCAAAATCCGCCAACGTTGATTCTTTATTGCGGCTGAAATATTCATTTTTAGAGTGTTAGTGAATTAAAAAAAAGCAGTATAAAAACCGGAATGTCCAACTGATAAGGCTGAAAATTTTTTCACTTGTTATTTACAGTAAGATAAATACATTCACCAACTTTTATTAAAATAAAACCATTTAAACTGGGTGTTCGGATTTATATGTCACTTAGTATAGAAACATAGTAGGCGGCGCGGATCGAACGTCAGTACTAAATCTTAACCTCACTCTTTAGTAAACTTAAATTCAAAGTTTCACAACAATACGTGCAGTGTTCTCACTACAGTGAATTTTTAAGTGCCACCAAGTCATTAGAAAAATGGAACTCAACCGAGAACATTTTCGGGCCATAATTTATTACAACCTTCAGAGACAATTCTCGCAACAAGAATGCCTTGCTGAGTTACTGTCTGTTTTCGGCAACGAAGCGCCACATTAGTCGACAATTTCCTGTTGGTATGAAGAATTCAAACGTGGATGGGTGAGTCTTAGCGACGATTCCAGGGTGGGTTCACTAAAAACGGCGGATGTGTATTAATCTTCGTGTAGAATACATCGAAGAACAATAAAGTCGTTTAAAACTACCTACCGTCTTGTTTTATTTCCATATGCAAAATTTAAAAGACATCCCTCGTATGCTAACTTTTACTACGTTTACTGTCATACTTTCGTTTGTTCTACAGTTTTTTTATATATTTGTTTATTTTCTTGAACGGAATTCTTCACCAAGGAATAAACGCCGAAACGATGGCAATTTGATTGAAGGCATTTTTAACACCTGTTGATTTATCCCAAGGATCTGAAGAAATTGAAAGCGCATATTGAATCAAGAAATAATACAAAAACCTATTTTTCCATTTGCTCCCGGACACTGCATTAGCAGCCATGGTTATGAAATGTAACAATGTAAAAGAAGTTTTTGTCTGGTTTAAGAAATTCTTCCAAATTCTTAAATTTTAACCGTTCTTAACTCATTTTCCATAGTGCCACGATTTTTCAAATCGATATTTTTTTATTGTTCCTCTGACTAGTCATTGTTGTGTAGATGGGAAATATTATGTCAAACTGATTGACCTACTTTTAATGTATACGCATTTTATCTTTAAGTGATCTCATAACAAAAAGTTGATGAACGATATGAAAAGTAATGTATTGAAATTAATACATTCCTTATCAAAACAAATACAATTATTGGTAAAGTATACTAAGTGACATATAAATCCGAACACCCAGTTTAAATGGTGTTATTTTAATAAAATTTTGTATAAGTACTTAATGAAGCATAATAATATATAAATGATAAAAATTTCAAAATTATTGCACTGCTTTAAAGCCCTTTGACCTTTAATAATGTGTGGATGCACCCTGATGTGCTACGCATTCTCCAACGCGCCTAGGCATGCTTCTGATCAGGTGGTCAATGTCCTCCTGTGGTATCTCATTCCAGGCAACCACCAACTCCTCTCGAAGTGCTTCTAGAGTCTGAGGAGGACGTTGCAAATTGAGCAATCTCCTACCCATCATATCCCACGCGTGCTCAATTGGGGATAAGTCGGGAAATCTTGGTGGCCATGGTAACAATGTGACATCATTATGTTGAAAGAAGTCTATTGTGACTCTTGCAACATGTGGTCGGGCATTATCTTGTTGGAAAGTTGGATCTGCCCGGGTGTCAAGATAGGGTAAAAGATGGGGTTCTAGAACTTCGTGGATATAACGCTGCGCGTTCATGTTACCTCTGATGAAGATTAAAGGTGACCTGGAACCATAAGCTATAGGACCCCAAACCATAACTCCAACAGTGTGATGAACATGTCTTTCAACAAAAAACTGTGGATTCCTCCTTTCACCACGTCGCCTTCTAACCCTGGCATGACCATCGTGCATGCCTAAACAAAATCGAGACTCGTCACTAAAGACAATACTGTTCCATTCCTGATCCCAGAGTGACCGTTGTCTGCACCACTCAAGGCGATTACGTCGGTGTTCTCGAGTTAAAGGGAGGACCCAGTGTGGCCGGTATGAAAACAAGCCAAAACTTCTCATTCGTCGGTAAACACTTCGCATGCCAATAGGTCTTCCGTGTTCTGCAAACCATTCATTTGCAATGGACCTGGTACTGGAGAAACGGTCCCTTAAGGCCAATAATCTTAGGGGGCGATCTTCACGGTCTGTTGTTCTACGGCGGCGTCCAGTGCCCCTTGCTCTTTGCGTACGGCCTCCTCGAAGCCATGCCTGACAACACCTAACCACAGTGTCTACACTTCTTTGCACTCTAACTGCAATTGCCCGAAAAGAAACTCCAGCTTCCCGAAGTCCCACTATACGGCCCCTATCAAACTCACTAAGTTGACGAAATCGTACAGGTCTCCGTACTCTAGGCATCGTAACCGATCGTAAAGGATGTCAAGAACCAAAATCCGCCTACGTTGATTCTTTACTGCGGCTGAAATATTCATTTTTAGAGCGTTAGTGAATTAAAGAAAAAGCAGTATAAAAACCGGAATGTCCAACTAAATTTTTTCACTTGTTATTTACAGTAAGATAAATACATTCACCAACTTTTATTAAAATAAAACCATTTAAACTGGGTGTTCGGATTTATATGTCACTTAGTATATTTGTATATCTATTATTCTATAATCAGCTCTTATGGCGCTTCTAAATGGGCAACATTTTACTGCACTATCTAGTCGCAATACAATCGCCAGCAACATACGTCAATATTTTTAGATGATTTTTAGTATGTATTGACTACGTTTGACATGAAATAACACTGGATGTTGTTCAATAGCCTCAAATTCGCCGTACTATTCGTAATGCTACTGACCTAACGCACGTTGAAACTGTAACAGAGGTTCCTTTCAGTAAGTAAAAGCCCCAATACTCTTTGGTATCATCAGCTAAGACTAATTCTCTCACCATTGACAGGATTTTCTTTTCTGGCGCCAGCTTTGGTGTGCTTGAAAGAAGAAACGCATTGAACGTTGTGTTTGCGTGTACTCGTTGTCGCTGAAATATAAAAACGGTTCATTCGCATTTTTTTAATGTGAAAACAAATCAAGTCCAGGACGTATTTTCGCATCTGCTGGGAAAAATATATTTGATTTATCTCGTTGCCTGGCATAAAATTGCTTCAAGAAACGCTTAAACTGTTTTTTAGGCATAATCGAAAAATCGTTCTTACAGCCCGCACAGAGCTTTTTAAATTTTTGTGGTGGTTATCTAGAGATGCAGCAAAGTCGGTCTCTCTTTTGATTAACAATTAACAAACAAATAATACTCCATGGATGGATTTTGATGATGGATCTACGTCAAAGTATGATTAACGAAAAGTATTATTATTGAAGTTATCAATAAAATGTATAGCATTCCATAAGAAAAACAAAAGTAGCTATCAGTTTCTGAAAAACTGTAGATTTGGCAACGTCGCGGATACGATCAACGGATCCGTCGTGATTTCCAATCTAACCTTACCAATTTAAGAAAAATTAGATGAGTCATTCGTCAGATATTTGATGCGTTCTAAGCTTTTGTTACAGTCTGTATACATTTTCTGTTTCAAGTATTCATCAGGACCATACCTGACACCATGTGGTAGATATCTTGTTATCCAGCATCCTCATATCTGATGCGGCAAGCGGATACAGCTGGTGTCCATACACCCGAAGCCTCAGATAAACCGGGATGCTTATCAGCAAAGACGGCAGCAACACACCCAGTATGCATAATCGAGCGACCCTTAGCGGGCCCCTTAGGGGTTGTTTTGTGCTTTTCTGGTAGTGACCGGCTTGGAAAGGGTATTCTGGAAAAGAACATCGGCATTTGAATGGTTTTCTAGAGGTATTTAGGCGTACATTCACCAATCTTGCAAATCGACTTCGACCCGCTATCTCTCAGAAACTAATCATAGGATTGAATTGGTCCTGTATAAATTTTTGTTCAGGAAGGCGAAAATTATATCATATTGGATTTTGAGGCGAATCGACCTTGACCCATTTTCCATGTGTCTTGTGCGGTGTCCGGCAGTATACCCACCTGTTGAACCTGATAGCACATATATTTCGCGGCTAAAGAGGAGTACGCGATATCCTTTACCTGCGGAAGGTCCGACCCGAATTCAGCAAAGTCGACGTTGCATACTTTTGTCAGTTTTAGAGTTTGAGTTTTCACTTGGCTGTTAGATTCCACAGTTACTGCAATTCGGTATAAAAGTGTTGCATCGCTGGACCGCTTTACGCATTTTTGTCTGCACAGTTTGACATGCGGTTTGATATAGGGGCAGAGAACTGTCGTACGCTGAGAGACATCGGTGGAAAATCGACTGCTGAATTTTTCGAAATCGCAGAAAATTATATTTCATTTATTTTACTTTATGAGATAAGGTACTCAGACGTATAAGCATTCAATGTGCATATTTTGAAACAGCGTAATGTGATATCTATTATCAGAAATATTGTGATGTGCATGATTTAACTTATAATCAAACATTTTGTTTGGTACTAGATAGATCAGTGTATCTCTTGCATATTTGAGTGATGAATATTTTAAAAAGCCTCGTAGTATACCACCAAAGTCGCATCCAGAATTCAGTCTCGCCTCAAGGCATATACAGTAGGAAAAAATGATTCCAGTAAATTGAGTGGATACTTTCACATATTATATACAGGGTGGCGCATCGAAAACGAAACAGACGCATTTACTGGCAGCACAGTTTTTTGTTGGAAAAACGCTCAGACCCGTCGATTTCGTTTTCGAGGGGGATACAAGTTTGGCAAAAAATCACGTTAACACGTGCAGCCCCCTGGACGGGGGTGACACCAACCCTAAAATCTTTAATGGAAATTGGGGTCGAGTGATACCTTATTTCAAAGGTCTTTCAATTCCCTTCATAATGATGTAAAATACATGAGCTTCAGTTTAGTAGTTTTGAAGATTTATTGATTTAAATTTTAAAGTAGACTTTAATAGGTTGGTACCTACAGTATATTCAGATAAGAGATAGACCGGATGTAAACAAAAGGTTCGGGTGATTTTCACGCTAACGCCGCCGTCTCGACGTAAAACAGGAGCCCTCATTGGTCAATTCGCAATTAAATGCCTATGCCGAGCGGCAGAGCAGTCGTATCAAGGCAGAGTCACATTCAGGTTCAGACGTGTTACGTATCTCGTGTGCATCGTTGCAATTTGATATTTCTTTGGACGTTTTCGTTTGTTATCTGATTAAGTTGTTGAGTTTGTCGTTGTTATTGTTATACCTTGTTATTGATTGTTATTGTTATCAACTGCTTGCGCAAAATGCCCAGTAGTACAGATAGTGCCGATGAAGTTGTAAACTCCTGTAGTCCACCTAGGAAACGCTCTAAAAAAGACACCTGAGTGCAGAAATGAAAGAGGTCATTTTGAATATATATAAGATCGAGCGCGAGGAGAACGAGGCATCAACCATCAAAGAAATTGTTGTGAAGGTTTCTCACAAAGTTGGGGTGTGTCGCGCATCAGTGTTAACGTGTTAGGACAATACAAAAAAAATCACACCTTTTCTGAGCCAATGACCAGTAAACATCGCAAAAGTATTGTTAAATCATTGGATGAAGCTGATAAGCATGCGATTAGGAGGAAAGTGCACGAATTCTTTAGGAATGAAATACCTACTATAGATAAAGTACTGCAGGAGGTAAATGGAGATACAACGTTGCCAAATTTCAAACGATCAACTTTCCATGCATTACTGAAGCATTTAAATTTCAAATGGAAAAAACGGGGTCGTAATAGTTTACTACTGGATAGAGAAGAAATTGTGCTATGGAGGAGGGATTATTTAACAAAAATTGGGAAATATAGAAATCAAAACAGGAAGATTTATTACCTTGATGAAACGTGGGTAAACGCAGGACACACTACAAGTAAAGTATGGGCTGATGATTCTGTAACTTCATCCAGGAGGGCCTTTCTAGATGGACTGTCCACCGGATTAAAAAATCCAGCAGGTAAATACGAGTAATAGACAACAATCGGATGTTTTTCAAACCTTGGGAACAAGGTTCTAAACATTAATTCCAGGGGGCAGATAAAACATATTACAAGTAACAAAACTTTTATAACTTTCGATAAAATGCGTGGATGTTTTATTGTCATTTTCATTTGTTAGAACTTTTTTAAGCCATGTTTTTATGTGTTTTCGATATTTCAATAATTTTTTAATATAATCTTAAAATATGTCGAATATTATAAACTTAAAAAAGTTACTAAGTTTTATATTGTGTACCGTTCCTAATATTTCTAATCATTTTAATTCATACTTTAAGCTTTATAAAGTTATAATTTGTTAATATTAATATTTGCGCGTATTTCAGGTTCCTGATCATTCATTTTTTAAAAGTTTATAACTTTAAATTAAATTGTGAAGCGCTGAGTAATCATACGACGTTCAATATTCTTTCTTTCAATATGACTAAATAATCCCAATTATAGCAATCTGATACTCATGTCTCAATGTTTTTTCGCTGAATGTGATGAAAACATTTGAAAAAGGTTCGCTTATTGAAATAAATCTACACCAGTTAGTACTTCGATTTCCAGGTAAAGGGAAAAGGCTCATTATCTGCCATATTGGCAGTGAGGATGGATTTGTTGTTGACGGTCTGTGGTGCTTTGAGTCTAAGAAAACTGGAGATTACCACGAGGAAATGAATGGCGAATCGTTTGAACAGTGGTTTTCAAAAATTTTACCGAACTTAGAGGAAAACGCAGTAATTGTGTTGGATAATGCGCCTTATCATTCTCGAAGAATGGAGAAGGTCCCAACAATGGCTTCAAGGAAAGTTGATGTTCAAAATTGGCTCCGCTCGAAAAATATCAACTTTGAAGAAGCAATGCTGAAAGTACAATTATTAAGAATTGTCAAGGATCACAAGGCGGAATATCAAAAATACGCCATTGACGAAATGGCAGCAAGTCAAAATAAAACTGTGCTCTGTTTACCTCCATACCATTGCGAGCTCAATCCCATTGAGCTCATATGGGCAGAGGTTAAAAATTATATAGCTAAGCACAATACAACTTTTAAATTTTTTGACCTCAAAGGACTTTTCAAAGAAGCACTAGAATTAATAACAGCGTAAAAATGGGAAAACTGTATTAAGCACGTGAAAGACAAAGTTGAAAAGAGAATGTGGGAACTGGACAATATTTTAGAGGAACAAGTCGAGCCATTCATTATTGACGTTGGTGCTTCAGGCAGTAGCGATGATGAAAGCTCATCAAGCTCATCTTTCCAATAAAAGATGTCGTTCATCAAATTCGGTAAGTTATAAGTAATTATAAAGCTACTGTATTTTTTAATTAATTATTGACATTTTTGAACCCATTTTGGCAAAACCTATTCAAGAATCTACTTTCTGACAATGTTCAACCATGCACATTTTTTTACGTTTTGAACGTTTTAATTTGGTTACATATTTACCTAGAAATCAAAAAATATACTAATCAATATTCTAAAAGCAATTTTAAGAGATATACGATTATTTTTAATTTAGGCTAATTTAAACGCCATTTTGAGATTATATTCGACTGTATTTCACCAAACATCAGGCGGCATCCGAAGCTGGAAATCGAAGCGAAAATTTTGAAACCCTTATGTATATTTACATCATTATATATTCACCAATCGTATACACATCGAATTGTGCTAATTTACTACAAAGTTACGCAAAGCAGCATCTACTATCTAAAATATGTACTGCGTGACTCTTAATACGTCCCTGCCGAATGTTACAGCGTTCGATGATCACGTGGTCTTGTTTATGTTCGGTCTATCTCTTATCTGAATATACTGTACATCAAATTAGTTTGTACTACTTTCAGAAGAAATTTGACTAAAAGAATTTACTTAATAAGTAAATGCTTTTCTTCACTACGCCCATGGTTTGTTTATCATTTTGTTGTTGAAAATAGCTATTGGGGCGTTTTTTTTTGTGGCAAAAAGTTATTTCTTGAAGAAAGATTAGGAAATATCTCGTACTTATTTTAAAAGGTTAAGCGCCAAGGACTTTCCAGCAAAATATGTCCTTGGACCAATGTGATATTTTAACAAATTTAAAAAATTTACGTCTAGTTAACCCCAAATCCTCGATATTTGATTTTTTTTCCGCACAGATTTAAAAAAAATAAAGCGGACACCGGTGTCCACTAGGGCCCTCCGAAAATGTTTAGAACAAGCGGACACGATACTTCCCAGAGTGGTCGACGATCGAGCCAATCTATCTTTACTTACGATACAGGTTGTTATTGATTTGTTTTTCGTCGCTTCGAGTGTGATGTGTTGCACCGTTTTACTGAAGTTTTTTGCGTAAAGTGAAACTTTTTCAAATAAAAATGAATGGACTATCAAAGAGGATATTACAGTTAACTCTGGAGAGAAAAAACGACTATGAAAGTAAGCTGCTATTGAAATTTTATTAGGTACCTCAATTGTGAATGTCCATTTTATTTACATAGAGATCGAAACTGAGCTGCCAGTAAATGCATCTGTTTCGTTTTCGATGCGCCACCCTGTATAATATTTTCTGTAACTTCACTGTGTATTCCCCATGAACCAATGTAAACCTAAGCAACTCCAAACAATTTTTATATAATTATTTTAAAGAATCTAGACATGCTTAAGATTCAGAAAACAATAGAAAATAAACTTGTTGATTGTTTACAACAACAAAAAAATACAGTAGTAAAATTCATTAACGCTTTGTTTGAAATCGCAAAAATATAAGCTTTTTTATTGAGGCTTACCTTCATAGTTTGTATAGTAGTGACCTCTCATTTGTAATGCTAATTTTAACTATAATAATACATCAAACTTGAGATCTTTTATCACAGTCGGACGATAATTTTGAACTGAATTTCGATAACAAACCAGCATCCTATATATTCGGTAGATACGATACGTATACTTTCCTTCCACTGTTAGACAACGGCTTATCTGTCTTACTCAAAGCTATCTTAATGATGTAGTTAAACATTGTTGCTGCGCTTTCTGTTTTGTTTGGAAATTGAGAATATTGTTGTTTCACTTTTATCAGACCTTCATTTCATGATTCAATACACACTATCTTCTCTATCTTTCACGAGATAAAAGTTGCGCCGCAATGTTTACAACACTTGATATAATAGGAATCTCACAAGAAAGTTTACAGACTTTGATAAGAACCGAATATAGAAAATGCATATTTGTACGTGTGACTTAAAGAATAATAGTTTTCCCATAGTAAGGTCTAATCTAGATCTATGCTAAAATTCATCGAAAGCGGTTCAGTCGTTTTGGCCTGAAAACAGAACATACATATGCATTATTAATATCAGGAACGATACAAGAGAACAAGATTTACTTTGATAATTACACTGATCAACAGCCAAAAAATATCCTAAATAAAATCAACAAAATATTACTATTTTTAATGTGCTAAAACCGGAATGAAACTTATTTTTTCAATATTAGTTCAAGTTTTACAGATACGGTAATTATATGTGTTCCTGCTGTGACAGTGTTAATATACTGTAATTCACAAGAATGCACGTGCTACATTTTTATATTCGGCAAGGAAAGATGTAATCGGCATGATTGTGTTACGTTATACATACGTGTACATTATATTGTTTTATATTAGCCATTTTTTCCTCAGTTGGCTGACAGCGTTCATGCAAGATGTCTCGAAAGTGTGTAAACAATCCAGATCAGTTTTGTTACGTGTGTGGTGATGTGACTTTTGCGTCTCAGAGACGGTCTATTACTCCACTAATAACAAAGGCATATCAGCTTCAAATCTGAGGAGCTGGTTAAATGGCAAAAAATGGTCTATGCGCTTTGCTGTCCCAATGGTTTGGAGAGAGCCTACAAATCATATTAATGATTGTTACTTTTGCATGGTACCTTGTGCTGGACAAGCCACAGGTATGTCCAAGAAAAAAAAATCGGTTATTAACTACCCAAACATACCATCTGCGATGAGACCTGTGCCTCACAGTGACGAAAATCGTATTCCAAAACCCCCAGAATCCTACACTTGCGAATCAGAAAACGAATCAGATCATGGCGATCGAGTGATTCGTCAGGAAGAAGATATGCCATCAACGTCAAGAGATCCTGATTTTATACCGAGTAGGTCATGCCACCAACCGCACAAAATAACACAGTCATAATTAAATGATCTTGTAAGAGATTTAGAACTTCCAAAATGTAAGGCAGAGTTACTTGGATCAAGACTGCAGCAGTGGAACTTGTTAGAAGACGATGTTTCGGTATGTGTTTTTCGTAAACGCCACAAACACTTAGAACCATTTTTCAATATGGAGAATAACTTGGTTTTCTGCAGTAACATTAACGGCTCACTGGCGGCTTTAAATATAAACTATAACCCAGAAGAATGGAGATTGTTTATAGACAGTTCAACATTGAGTTTAAAGGCAGTGTTATTGCATATTGGAAATATTTTACCATCTCTTCCTGTAGGGTATGCAGTTCACATGAAAGAATCATATCACAATATGAAGTACCTATTGACATGCATAAAATACGATGAGCACCAATGGCATATTTGTGGCGATTTGAAAGTTGTTGCACTTTTACTTGGGCTGCAGCTAGGCTACACAAAGTTTTGCTGTTTTTTGTGTGAATGGGACAGTCGGGCAAAGGCACTTCATTACACCAGACAAAACTGGCCTGTTCGTCAATTCCTAGAGCCAGGTCAAAAAAATGTACAGCATATGCCATTAGTAGATTCGAAAAAAAATGTATTACCACCACTGCATATCAAGTTGGGCCTAATGAAAAACTTTGTCAAGGCATTAGATAGATATGGGTCAGCTTTTCAATACTTGCGTCAGAAATTTCCAAGACTAAGTGAGGCAAAGGTTAAAGAAGGTATTTTTGTTGGGCCACAGATTCGAAATATTTTGAAAGATACACAGTTCGAAAACACATTAACAGGTATTGAAAAAACTGCTTGGAATGATTTCCGTCTGGTGGTCACTAATTTCTTGGGAAAAAGGAAAGCTGACAACTATAAACCCCTTGTCAAAAATATGCTGTCATCGTATCAAAAGATATGTCTCTTAAGATACATTTCCTACACTCACAACTGGACTTTTTTCCTGACAATTGCGGAGCCGTAAGTGATGAGCACGGCGAACGTTTTCATCAGGATGTATCAACAATGGAAAAAAGGTACCAGGGAAAGTGGAATCCTTCCATGCTTGCAGACTACTGTTCGACTCTTGGTAGAGATGCTCCAGAAACGATCCATAAAAGAACAGCAAAAAGACAGCGCATATAGTGATTCTTATAAGTATATGAATCTTGTTACTTTTTTTAATATATCCTTAAAAATAAAAAGTTTTTTTTCTAAACCGCAACTATTTTTTTTATTTCATCGTCATTTTTGGATTCAGCGCCCCAAAATTAACAAAGAAGTGCACTTTTCCCACAAGATACAATTAAAAAACTAAAATTTGTTGTCCGGTGTTATTTGTGACTTTATGTCTGTTGCAATGTCATCGATTCTACGCTTGACCGTACTATTCGAAAGAGAAATAGACTTCATTTGTTGCTCTGCATCTTCTCCTAAAATTATCTGCGTGGCTTTTAGGATACATGCTTTTATTAATTCTTCACCGATAGTATGAGGCTTCTTTCGCTTTGCTATCGTAAAAGCTATTTCAAATGAAGCTTTGAGATGCTGCGATACACTTGTGTGATAACCTCCCGATTTATCCAGTCTCATCCTCTCGAGTGATTCTGCTTTAGAACAATAAAACTCTTTCGTCTTCAAAACCAGAGTAGGCTGTTGTTGCTCCGAATGCCATTTAAGGCTATCATTACTTAAAACTTTCATACATATCACACACTGAGGCAATTGTAACACGTCTTTTTCTACGAAGGTAAATGCAAACTTAACGTATTCTTAGGAAAACTTTCTCTTTTTCGCTGCCATTTTGCACCTAAAACAATAAAACAAATAAGTAATGAATAAATAAGCAGAATACCTACATGTAATTACTAATTATATGCCCATTATTTTATCTTAATAACGTAATGTATTCAACAGTATATTGGCCATCGTGAGATTTATATTTTTGTAGGCAGGTTATAATAGTAATTTTAAATACATTTTTCGCAAGTTTATGTAAATGAATGTCACAGATGCTCATCCGCGTCTGGTAGGTGCACAATTGTCCTCTAAGTAATGAATGTTAAGCACAGCGCGGCGGGGGTGCGCGCGAATTTCATGTTGTGACTTGTCGAAACTTGTATAAACTACGATTGACGACGCCGGGTTTTGAAACAGCGGTTGAAAGAATAAGTGAATATGATATTTGATTTCTGATTTTATGCGTGTAAATTAAACATTACATCGTAATCTTATTTGTTAATGTTGTTTGTTTTTTTTGTCCTTTCTTTCTAAAATGCAAACGCTTTCCGTCGCCCTTGACAACTCTCTAAGCCCCCCTTGGGTGGCCCACCCCCCTGGTTGACGTTTAGTAGATTTTTGGACGCGTGATGGCGTTTTCTAGAAAATCCTCTAAATGGAAAAATTATGACGTTAGAACAAATCACTCTGTACAACACGACCTTAACGTTTCATCACCACCCCTCATCCCGAAGAACAAACATTTCCCAAACGCGTAGGGGATGAAGTGGGCGCGGCTACTATGCTCCGCCCCTTTCAATTTTATCCTCTCACGTCATTGGTTGCTGCGGGGGTGTCAAAACGACGATAAGCTTCAAGCGGATATGAGTGTGTGATGCTGATACTGGACCTGATGCCAGTTGAGCTTCCGGTTGACGTTGGAAACGGCTACTTGATTTTAGGAGGGTCAATATGAAATTAATTACAGTGGTTTGTGTTCGGAAAATAATGTGAGTGAATAGTGATAGCTGTGATAGCGGTCGGTGGTTGCATTTTGTTTCTATTAGTCAAATTTGGAGAAATGGTGTTCTATTCTTTAAGCTGAAATTATGGTCATAGTATCCTTGGTTCCGTAATAATAATTTTAGGCCTTTTTTACCAATTCCTGCAAAGCCAAAACTAAATCTGAAGTTCGAGTTTTTTTGCTGAAGAATACCCAGTTTTGCCCCCGTGCTACTGTCGAGGAAGTATTATAATATCGGAAAGTTCCGATACATTGCGAAAAACAATGTCCCTTGGTCTGTCTGTCCGCTAAGCATTGGAAAGTACGACGCGGATTTGGATGAAATTTTGACATAAGATTATTCTATTTTTTACGTTCCAGGGGCTCCTGATTATTTTCAGAAAAATATTTCTAAGGATTAACAATTGGGGGATGGTTATTTTTGAAGTTAGGTATATCTTAATTTTTTTTAGTTCTTATGTCAAAACTGGTGAGGTAGCTAGCTAGAGGTCTAACGTGTAGTGATCATAATCCTTTATGAAGTCCAGGGTCAATATTTGACGCCATTTTTCAGTTTCGTTAACGTGTACATAAGAGAAACGAGAAAACGTTTTAAAATTGTCTGTTGATTCATTGTTCAGTATAATTAAGAGACGAATACTACGATCAGGTTTCACATTGTAGGACTATAATAATAGGAGGGTGAAACACCATTTTTCCAAAATCAATATGGAGTGTCCGATTTTTGTGAAGTGCAGTGTATGAAATGATTAACATTCTTTTATCGTACGAATAGTCATATACAATTTTAATGATTCATACTTAAACTGGTGATTGTGGTTTGAAGAGAAATCGATTAAGATTACTGTTGGATTTTTTGTGGTTGGTTGCGTCATCTATTGACTGATGGTAAGTACGGCACATTAACTATACAATATTACAAGTAAAATTAATTTTCAGCATATCTTCTCTTGTCTATTCGGGCTAAGGGATCTGAAAGATAATAGCAGTATTCACAATTGTTAGTATTAATGATAATAATTTATTTATTTATACATAATTGATCAACAGGGTAATCCAATTTCAGAACACTATAATGGTAACTTAACTAACATTTCACCAGATCTGGCGATTTTATGAATGATATGGTGATCGGTGAAACTTTCAAAAATGACAATTTGTTGGCGATTTTGAATACTTTTAACAATCCCGAAACTAAAAAAAAACACCAAGAATTTTTTGTTCATTATATCAATTTGTATACGAATCGTTTTCCCACCTGAACAAATCTTTTCAGCCAATGTTAACCTACTCATCGTCCAGCCCTCCAGAAATGGAGTGGTCTCCCGAGGGAGAGAACACTGACGTCAGCAATACGTCATCCCCGAACGGATCAAGGACAATCCACAATCAAGACCATGATTCGCTCTCTGACGACGACGATTTTTCCGATGAGTTGTCAATCATTGATAGTGACGAGGAGAAAAGGATTGATGCGCGGTTCTCGCATCATCAACATATGATACAGGTAGGTATATACATCTTCAAACAGTGGCATATTAGAGAGAACACTGCACGTATCGTTGTGAAACTTTGAATTTAAGTTTACTAAAGAGTGAGGTTAAGATTCAGTGCTGACGTTCGATCCGCGCGGCCTGCTATGTTTCTATATGCAAAACTTAAAAGACATCCCTCGTATAAAAAAGACATTCTGTTTTACGAGCTACAGTCCAAACGACTTTATGGATTTTGACATTTGAGGTACTGTTAGATTCATCCTAGCGGGGCGAGTGATACTGTGTGTATTAATATTTTGTATAATCAAAATGGCGGATTTTTTCCTCAATGAGCTTGGACATTCAAGTCAGCATTCCACGTGCGGGAACATTCAATCTTCGGTCCAGCGAGGAATTTGTATCTAACGTTTGGCATCTGAGTAGAATCATGTCATATTCTCCGCGAAATTATGCAGAAATGCATTACTATGATGGTGCTGCTCTAGGAAATGCTCGAGCAGCTGCTCGCATGTATCGGGAGTATGTGGTGAGAAGAGGTGGACTACATATCCCGACTACCGCGTTTTCCTATGCGTCCATAATGCATATATCGTTTTATAAGGGCATAAACTATACATCTTAATATACAAATTGATGAAGCAAAAATAAATATTATGGAAAATGCAAATTCATTTCAAAGACTAAAGGACAATTTTATTAGAAGGTGTCGCTAATGGAGGCCATTTCGAACATGTTCTCTAAAAGTTAGTTAAATTAAATTATTTTCCACATCTGATCGCCATATTTTTCCTTTGAGTAATTTTCAGAAACCGTCAGTTTTTCAGCTGAGATTAAGACGATGTTTTTCCAGGCTCCCATGGAGGTCCAAACAAGAGGAGTCGTTAAAAAGATATGTACAAATAGTCGAGAAAGGTGGCGTCAGCAAAATGTCAGTGGAGCTTTCGCTGAATTGAGAAAATTGGTGCCAACTCACCCTCCCGACAAGAAACTTTCCAAAAATGAAATACTTCGAATGGCAATCAGGTACAAAAAAATTATTTGAAACATCCCTAAATAGAAATACGAGGAAATATAGATGATCTATATATTGAGACTTAATTCAGATTTGAGCGTTAAGGATAGTTTGTTTAATTTGATTTTTGAAATTATAAAAATGCAGATGTTTAGCTGTCGATGGTGGTAATAGCATTATAGGTAAAGCTTTTATGAAATAATGAAGTGTTGTGAAGAGGCACAGTAAAGTGTCGATGAATCGAATGATCCGTGAGTGGATTTATTGTTTTTCAAAAATGAAGTACGTAGGAATTTGTGAACAACTTCACAACATTCAACCAATTCGACTGTTCGAAACATGAATTAATATGATCATATTAAGTTGAAAATCAATCTACAACATAAATTTTGAATTTTCTTTTGACGTTTAGCTGAAACTGCATCTAGAAATATGTGATTTTTGATATTATCAAAGATTCACATGATATTTTTTTGGCATTGAAATCAAGTATTTTTCTATTCAAGTACAGATGCCGAAAAACAGTAGAATAGTTTTTACATGAATACATTTGGAACAAACCTAAGTTTTGAACAGATTCTTCAATCTAAATAGCATGACCGTTTGAAATTATGCTACACATTGTTTTTAATAATGGACCTGGGATTTTTATGAGGAAAAATGATGACCTTGGATTCCATATTATATAAGGTAAATAAGAAAAGAGCCACTTGTTCTAAGGTTATACAGCATTTCAATACTTAAAACAACTCTCAATACAAATACTTGATGGCAAGTCTACCATAGCTGGGTAGATTACTTCCAACGCCTATTCGCGAGTAAGAATTGAAATCGCGAATGATCTCTAAAATGATACATTATTTTTTTTTGAAAATTCCTCAGACTTCGTTTTTTGGCGTTTCAAAGCATCTTATTCATTTTAAAAAAAATTGGGGAAAAATTTGGGAGGCGCTTGGTTTTAGGGGGAGGGGGAGCGTGTATCAGAATGTTACCCTTATGATACAAATGTTTTGTATATCAAGTGCTCTAGCCAGGGGTTGGTCTCGAGCGAAGAACGATACGGCGAGTTTTTGCGGCTTCCAGGGCAACATACAAGTTGTCGATTGTTTAAAAAAAAATACTTTTCCTCATTATAGTACATGACCAGCTGTAAGGGCTTCTATAGCCGACAAATGGTAACCCCACCAGAACCTAAAAAAGTTGATTCCGCACATAATTTCAATTTTTGCTAAATCAACAATGCTCGTTTGTACAAGGGTTTCTATAGCAGGCAAACGATAAAGATACCAAGGCGTACTCAGATACTATGATGCATATACAAAATCCAGATTTGCATGCGAGGTACAGAGTCAACCTACTTGATACCAAGTGTCTGAAAGATTTGCTCTACTGAAAGGTACAACGAGGTGTGTCTTATTTTGTTTTGATGGAACTCTTGATGCTAAAATAAAATTTGCATCTGTCTACGTCATGTTTTATAACCAAGGTGAATCACATGAAATATTTCAGAATGTAATCATTGTTATGATAATATCTATCATACCTCTGACATCAGGAAGTACAACGCGCAAGGTTGTGTTTTATATAATAGGAATTTATACAATTGATTCTTAATAAAAGACTATTGACTGGTGTGACAGGCTACAGTTGTCTGATAAGTAATAATTGTCAACGAATGTAGTTCGTTAGGATATACAGTGTGCAATCACTATATGTTTATATATATATATACTAAGTGACATATAAATCCGAACACCCAGTTTAAATGGTTTTATTTTAATAAAATTTTGTATAAGTACTTGATGAAGCATAATAAGTAAATGATAAAAATTTCAAAATGATTGCTCTGCTTTAAAGCCCTTTGACCTTTAATAATGTGCGGATGCACCCTGATGTGCTACGCATTCTCCAACGCGTCTAGGCATGCTTCTGATCAGGTGGTCAATGTCCTCCTGTGGTATCTCATTGCAGGCAACCACCAACTCCTCTCGAAGTGCTTCTAGAGTCTGAGGAGGACGTTGCAAATTGAGCAATCTCCTACCCATCATATCCCACACGTGCTCAATTGGGGATAAGTCGGGAGATCTTGGTGGCCATGGTAACAATGTGACATCATTATGTTGAAAGAAGTCTATTGTGACTCTTGCAACATGTGGTCGGGCATTATCTTGTTGGAGAGTTGGATCTGCCAGGGTGTCAAGATAGGGTAAAAGATGGGGTTCTAGAACTTCGTGGATATAACGCTGCGCGTTCATGTTACCTCTGATGAAGATTAAAGGTGACCTGGAACCATAAGCTATAGCACCCCAAACCATAACTCCAACAGTGTGATGAACATGTCTTTCAACAAAAAACTGTGGATTCCTCCTTTCATCACGTCGCCTTCTAACCCTGGCATGACCATCGTGCATGCCTAAACAAAATCGAGACTCGTCACTAAAGACAATACTGTTCCATTCCTGATCCCAGAGTGACCGTTGTCTGCACCACTCGAGGCGATTACGTCGGTGTTCTCGAGTTACAGGGAGGACCCAGTGTGGCCGGTATGAAAACAAGCCAAAAGTTCTCATTCGTCGGTAAACACTTCGCATGCCAATAGGTCTTCCGTGTTCTGCAAACCATTCATTTGCAATGGACCTGATAGTGGAGAAACGGTCGTTTAAGGCCAATAATCTTAGGCGGCGATCTTCACGGTCTGTTGTTCTACGGCGGCGTCCAGTGCCCCTTGCTCTTTGCGTACGGCCTTCTCGAAGCCATGCCTGACAACACCTAACCACAGTGTCTACACTTCTTTGCACTCTAACTGCAATTGCCCGAAAAGAAAGTCCAGCTTCCCGAAGTCCCACTATACGGCCCCTATCAAACTCACTAAGTTGACGAAATCGTACAGGTCTCCGTACTCTAGGCATCGTAACCGATCGTAGAGGATGTCAAGAACCAAAATCCGCCAACGTTGATTCTTTACTGCGGCGGAAATATTCATTTTTAGAGCGTTAGTGAATTAAAAAAAAGCAGTATAAAAACCGGAATGTCCAACTGATAAGGCTGAAAATTTTTTCACTTGTTATTTACAGTAAGATAAATACATTCACCAACTTTTATTAAAATAAAACCATTTAAACTGGGTGTTCGGATTTATATGTCACTTAGTATATATATATATATATATATATAGTTCATGGTGTAAATACTATTGAATAAAGTTTTCAAAAATTCTTTTGGATCTGTAATCTCATCAAAAACCCGTTTCTTGGGTAACTTGCACGTAAATTACAAATCGGCTGACAGATTTTCGGAATGCTCAAAGAGTTACAATATTTTCGTACTCTATATAGAGCTTGACAACACTTCATATTTTTTGATGGACATATTCCGAAACAGCGTTCCGGAATATCCCCATCTTCTTTCATTTGTAGCAACAGTCGCAAAAGGAAATTTGCCTCGAGAAAGTTAAAAGTTCCGAATTTTAAACTGTAAAAATATAAGGATAGCTTCAAAAGAATGAAATCTCTAAATGGAAACCAGTTTTTTTTACCTATACTCTAAGCTAGAAAGAACAAGAAAAAACAGGGATTTTTGTTTTTTTGGAAATCAAGGAGTAAAATTGCAAATATTGAGAAAATGGCTTCTGTATCATGATAGGTTTTTGAGATATCGATGATCAAATCTAAAAGCTGTGTTTTTATTAAAAATTCTATATCTCAGAAAAAAATTGCCGCACAGAGGCTTTGAAAAGGAAAATCGAAGCTGATTGAACATGCTATCGACTACATGTAAATGCTGTTACAAGTTCGTCCACCCAAATACAGAAATAAAAGAATCGCAATTTTTTTTCTTGCTACTTCCTAGGATTCCATGGAACCAGCAATTTCATTCCAAAAACTAGTAATTTGAAACGTTTCAAAATGCTTCTTAGATCGTCAGTACTACCATTTTTTACTGACATACAGCTTTTCAAAAAGAAAACACAACAAATTACAATTTTTATTTGATCCGTCAATTCTTTCCATCAGTGTAGTTAAAAGTACAGGGTGGCCAATATATAACTGACTGATTTGAATTGCGCGCCATTTTTGATACATGCATTTCAGTAGGTAGTTGTTTAAAGCACATGTGTCCAATTGATCATGGAGCGCTACACGATCCCACGGCGCGTCCGTATTGTTAAAACGTTTTATTTAAGTAATGAGTCTGTTGTTACAACGATTCGGGAGCTACGACAAGATTTCGGTCAAAATAATGTGCTCAGTGTCAACACCATTCGTCAGTTAGTGCGTACTCTGGAAAAATCGAGAGAGTTCGTGAAAGTGCACTGGAGCGCCCTGAGACGTCTACAAGACATCGTTCTGAAGAACTGAGTATCCGTCACACGTCATTATCCAACAAGTTAACCTGCAAAACATGTGGTTCCAACAGGACTTGACACACAGCTAGGGAAACGATGAATCTTTTGCGAATAATATTTCCGGGACGTTTAATTTCCCGATTTGGTGATGTCAACTGGCCAGCAAGGTCACCGGACTTGGAGGCTCCTGACTTTTATATGGAGATTCTTCAAAAATAGGGTTTATGCTAACAAACCAAATTTTTTTTTTAACTCTGCATGATTCTCGGGGGGGGGATACTATTTCTGAGGAAGGTACTCTGAGGCTTCTGATGGATACGCACTTCCCCGGTTCCACAGTAGCGCGATCGATCACAGAGTGCATGCAGAGTTGCGCAGGCCCTCAGGGGCAGGACTGGCGTACGGCAAGGAAGATTGTCATCTTCGAAAGGACGGTATGGGCAGTAGACTCGTTTGCTTCATACATAAGTCCAGGTCTGGACGGCGTATTTCCGGCCAAGTTACAGCAGGGACGAAGTTCTGTTGTTCCTCACCTGTTGAAGGTGTTTCGAGCATGTGTGGCAGCGGGCTTCACACCTAGAAGCTGGCGGGAGGCTAAAGAGGTATTCGTTCCTAAACCGGGCAGAGCTAGATATACTGGCCCGAATGATTTTCGTCCTATTACTCTTCCATCTTTTGTGCTTAAAACACTGGAAAGGATAGTTGATGATCTGGCCTTACACAATCTGGTCGTTAGGCTGGAGAAGACTCTAGATCAGCGAGAAGTGGCACGCGTAGCCTTTTTGGACATTGAAGGTGCATTTGATTGCACCACAATCGACTCTATCAGACATGCCTTGGTTAGACACGGGGTTGGATCAATCCTAATAGATTGGGTCCTATCTACTCTGGAGGGTCGGGTAGCAACAGCTATGCTGAATATCGTAAGATGGAGCGTGAGCGTAGCTAGAGGCTGCCCTCAGGTCGGAGTTCTGTCCCCCTACTGTGGTGCATCGTGGTGAACGAACTCCTCGTCAGGCTCAGCAGTGTGGGTGTCTACGTGCAAGCCTATGCGGTTGACGTAAGCATAGTAGCTAGGGGACGTTTTTGTAGAACAGTCTCGGAAATTAAGCAGGGCGTTCTGCGCTCTGTGGAATCGTGCTACAGGGAAGTTGATCTTTATGTTAATGCTGAAAAGACCGAGCTGGGAGAAGAAGGCTGGACGGGCTGGTCATGCCGACCTTCTTTGGGACTAGATTAATTCTATCCCAGTCAGTGAAATATCTGGGAATTATCCTGGATCGCAATTCAATGTGGGCCTGTAGGCGTGTTGTCGATGTAAGGTGGGGACTTAAACCCAATGTAGTATACTGGCTCTACACGACGATAGTACGTCCATCTCTCTTGTACGGCTCCCTGGTCTGGTGGCATTGCATTAGAACTAAGACAACTAAGGCCAAACTCAATAAAATTCAGCGTTTGGCCTATATTAGCATTATAAGCGCAGTGCGAACAACGCCATTGAGTGCAATGGAAGCTCTGTTGGATCTCCCACCGTTGGATCTGGTGATCCGCGGTGAAGCGAGAGTAGTCGCTCATCGACTGTGGAGTCAGGGCAGCTGGGCTTTCTTGAATCCTGTCAAGAGGCATACTGACATCTTAGTCGATTTGCAAAGGGAGGCCCCGTCCTTCTAAGGCAGGGGTGATCGTATTACCCCTAAATGTCGCTTCAACTGCAAGTTTATTGTGGAGTATCCAACGAGGGAGCGTGCAGGTCTGGTACACGGACGGCTCGGTCACCGAAGGTGCTGGGGTCTATGGTCCTAGAACTAGGCTATCTCTGCCTCTCGGTGGATACATCACTATTTTCCATGTGGAAATCTTTGCGATTCTGGCTTGTGTATCTAACATTCTGGAGGAGGGTGGGCCTAGGAGAAGAATAACAATCTTATCCGACAGCCACGCTGCAATGAAAGCACTAAGTGTCTGTAAGATTACTTCGAATCTTGTATATCTTGTATAATTATTAAGATGAAAAAAATGGACGTCTTTTATTTCATTTCGGAAATATTCAAGATACAAACCAGTCAGTTACATATCGGCCACCCTGCATAACGAGATACATCCTCACCATTTTACACTTCCAGATACATCCGCCTCTTGACCAACGTCTTGGAATGGCAGAAAACGCACGCCGGCCCAATCCAAGTCAACATCAAATGCGAACAAGACAGCCTATCGATCCAAAGGAACTCTTCTTTCATACCGAGTTTGCATACCCTGAGAACGCGGGCCAGAGTACGCAGAAACGTTCATTCTTTTCCTCTTTGTGACAGGAACGCCAACAATCTGCTTATGATCGCTCCCAATAATCATCTACCTATTAGGAGGGGACAGTTCATGATTGAATTTACTGGGCCTACTAGTCAACAGGTCAAGATTGAAAGTATAGATGGGAAGGAAGAAGATGAGGATAGAGAAAACGAAGAACGTTGTAAGAGGAAGAAAAAGTGAATTGTTCTTTATGTGTGATACTATAGGAACTATAAAAATATGGAAGATTGGTTATTGGCATGGGCGCCCATTGGGAGGGGGCAAGGGGAATTCTGCTTAGTGAAATATTCTTAAATTCTCAATAAGATATCCTTGGGTAAGAAGTGGAATATCCCAACATGCAACCCCCCCCTCGTCTCCAATTGTCACTAATGGGTTGACTAGTTCTCAGCATTTTTTTTGGTCCTGCACAACCTGTAAACCAAACATGCCCCCCCCCTGGATTTTGCTATATGGGCGGTCATGGTCATTGGTCATTAAAAGATAAGGTTTACCCGTTCGTTTCAGATTCTGAAATACTTGTTCTATTTTTTTTATACTGCAGTACAGCACTGTGTTTTAGAAGCATTAAACTGTACAAGATTGTTGTCTCCCCAGCAGTGGGTTGACAGTACAGGAAAGGAGACCGTTGATATGTAAGATGAACAGTATTGGAGCCAAGACCGGTCACTGGGGAATACCCGCGTTGACGTTGTGGGATGTAGAGGAGAACCCGTCAATTACGACGGATATATTGCGGTCAGAGATAAAGTCAGCCACCCATCTGCGAAGCCTTACTGGAAGGCCATAGGATGGAAGTTTGCTTAAGAGGGCAGCGTGCCACAGCTGATCGAACGCTTTCGTGATGTCAAGAGCGACGACATGAGCCTCACCATAAGAGTGGATGAGTTTACTCCACAATTGCGTGACGTAAGCTAGGAGATCGTTGGTGCCGGAAACCATACTGCCTGTCGCTAATCAAGCTGTGACGTTCGAGGTAGCAAATTTCCAGTTTTCTGGCAAGGTGCCGGATTTATAAGATATCTGGAAGAGACGCGAAAGAACTGGAGCAAGCTCCGCTGTACACTTTTTCAGTACAATGGCAGGAATCAAGTCTGGACCAGAAGCTTTGTTGATGTCGAGCGACAAGAGCACTCGTCTTACGGTATTATGCCTGAATGGTACCTCTGGCATAGTGTAGGGAACCCTTTGACGGCACTTGGGCGTTGGGGGCGGGGGACGTCCATGGTGGAATTGGCAGCAAAGATCTTGGCTAGCACTTCCGCCTTGGTCTTTGAGTCGAATACAATCGTTCCATCCTGACACGTAAGTAGTGGAAGGCTACTGTGTGAGAAGTTCTTTTCATTCTTTTCAATCTGCTTGGCCAGCGTCCAGAAAGACCGACATTACCCTGTGCCTAACTTTTATATTGTGCTGGTTTCTGGCATTGCGAACCGCTTCGTTATATTTATTTCTGGACCCGACGTCGACTTGTCTGTTCTCTACAGTGGGGTTTTGTAAGAAGATTCTGTGTGCCTTGATCTTCTGCTGGCGAGCAGTGTCAAATGATTTGTTAAACCAGCCGTTGGACCCTGGTTTAGGCACTTTCACTGTGTAAGGGATGTATTCTTCCATTCCGACGTGGATAATTTCGGTTATCGAAGAAGAAGTTTTCTGGGAAGATAAGATATTTGGAAGAGACGCGAAAGAACTGGGGCAAGCTCCTTTGCACACCAGTCCGGACCAGCTTTGTTGACGTCCAGCGACAAGAACACCCGTCTTATGCCTGTGTGTTACTTCCCGCATATGAAACTTTCTAAATAAGTGTGAATCTAGGGGGTTATGAATATCGAGTTCCTTCAAAATACTATAGTCAGATTGATGAAGAAGGTTAGTAGTTATAGGTTAACTTTTGGGGCAATCGAGCAATGTGCGATGTATGAGGATAAGTAAAGATTTGGTATATGTATTTTCCATATTTATAAATAATTCACGTATGCTTTATAATCGCTGAAGCTGTAGGATATACAGGGTGTCCGCAAAGTTGAGGTTTTCCTTTTCAGAAACAACTACCCTTGAAATAACAAACGTAATGTGTAGTGAAACTAGGGCGACCAAGTAAAAACAAAAATAAAGAAGTACTCACTCTCCAGTTGACGAGAAGGGCTAAGTACGTCTCTGCCCGAAATCATACCGCTCCAACAGAAAATGAAATCAGCTGATGCGCTACCGAGTAGACGCCGGCGGTGGTGCAGACCAGTAGACCAGGAACAGAGGTAACAAATATGACCATGGTGCAGAAACCACATTGACTGTCTTACACTTAATGGCACATCTTCTAACAACAAAATGTTGCGTAAGAAGTCTAGGTATTGCATCCCGTCCAATCGATTTGGGAGAATAAATGGTCCAATGAGCATACCGTTCACCATGCCAGCCCAAACATTCACCGAAAATGTTTGTTGAAACGGACAGCGTGCGGATTTTCTACTGACCAAACATGAGTGTTGCGAAAGTTATTCACCCCATTACGCGTGAACGTAGATTCGTCTGTCACCAATATGCACTTCAAAAAGTCCGGATTATTGTCATGTTGATGCAACAACCACTCACAAAACCGCACTCTTGCTGGAAAATCGTCAGGTTGAAGGGCTTGTACACGTTGGACGTGAAACGGATACAACCCCTCTTCACGCAGCGTTTGCCACACTTTAGTTTTTGATACTTGCACTTCTCTAGCCACGTCTCTAGAGCTTGTTGTTTTTTGAAACGCAATCGATTGGGTTCGTTTCCCTCTACACGCGTGACCGTAACCGTCGGTTGAAGGTTGCATACTGACCTGAAACACTGACCCCAACCCCCGACCCAGTTCTGTCTTCGGGTTGAGCTAGTGTCCTAGTACCAGTCGGGGATATCGCGAGTCGCGGCTACAGGACGGTATTCAGATATTTTTGATGTTGCAGAGCCCTTTATCTCGGTTCCCTTGAGACATTGGTGTATATGGTACTAAGAAAAACTGCTTATATTTTCAAGATCTACACGTCGTGTAAAGGAAAACCCCAACTTTTCGGACACCCTGTATAGTCTATACCAAACATCAAACACAAGCTAAAACTAGAATAGACAGTTTGACTCAAAGTACATAACCGTTATATAGATTCTTCTACAATGATTAATTCCATGTTATAACAACTGTAATACTGAATAAAAATATAGAATCAAGTTGCGTTTTGATTGAATACAAAATCAAAGTCGATATTAGTAGTTCTTCTAAGTCATGGAAGCGTTAAAATTCATTCAGAAGTCAAGGATTTATAAGTTTTTAAGCTTCCGATGTTATAGTAGCAGTAGACTCCATGATTGAAATTATTCTTGCCCATTAGTCACTGTCTAATGTACGTTAGTCGAATCTGTCAGTCCTGGTTGCCCAGAAACCAGACAATATCAAGGAAAAATAGAAAGGGAAAAGAAGAAAAAAGGAGAAGAGCAAAGAAAAATTCACGCTAGGTATAAGGAATTACTTATCGCAATAGTGTTTTATATAGTTCTTGTTTTGGTATATATTTTTTTTTTATTCGGGAAAAAGCGTCGGTTGTAATCAATGAAAGTGAACTTTTTTTATGTCATGTTGTTTTCATTGTTATTTTTGTGAGTTCACCTTCAATTTAATAGAAAGAACTTTCTCGTAATAGACAAGTACCGCTATGTTATTAACGCATATGCGTGTACAACATTAACTTTCGTCTATTTTTTGACGTGAAACTTAAACTCATAAATAACGGGTTGTCCAATAGGGACGCAGGAAAGTAAACGTCAATTTGACAGAGACGCCATCTTTGTTTTCTGTCACCGACATGTCATTTTGTTAGTTGAATGGTTACCATTGATCGCATATGGAGTCGTATTCGATTGAAGACCGCATTAAAGTTATTCAAGAGCACTACAAAAATGGTGCAAAAATAAAAAACACGTTTCGCGCGCTTCGTGAACATTTCGGTCGCAACAACCGCCCAAACGAAACAACCATCGGTCGTCTGGTGCGTAAATTCCAGGCAACAGGTTCTGTGGCTAATCTCCCTGGCTCTGGCCAGCCAAGGAGCGTTCGCACACCGGAAAATATTGCTGTTGTGAAGGAGAGTGTGAGAGGCGATCCGGAACAATCAACAACGCGTCGATCCCAAGAATTGGGCATTTCGAGAACCAGTTTGCTCCGCATCACGTGATGATAGAGGACTATTTTTTGCCGCAACTTGAAGGAATGGATATGGACGATGTTTATTTCCAACAAGACGGTGCAACATACCACACAACCAACGTCAATATCCATCGATTGCAGTCCTTCTTCGGTGATCGCGTGATTTCGCGCAGAGGAAATGTGCCATGGCCACCAAGATCGTGCGATTTGACTCGCTTGGACTTCTTTTTATGGGGATATTTGAAAAGCGAAGTCTACGTCAACAAACCAGCCACCCTCCAAGAACTCAAAAACAACATCATTGCCGAGATAAATGCCATAGAACCGACCATGTTGCAAAATGTCATTGAAAATTTCGACCATGACGTGGACGTCTGTAAATCCAGTCGTGGTGAACATTTGAGCGATATTATTTTTCATACATAAATGGTATAAATGAACCTTCAAAATAAAGTACCCAACTTGATTTGAATATCAATCTTTCTTGTTTTAATATGCGTTTACTTTCCTGCTTCCGTTTTGGACAACCCCAGAAGCTAGAGAAGTGAGAGGACGTGGGTGTTGATGCGCTTTTCAGTCTCAAGATCTTATCATTCTATTGTGTGTTTCAGAGTTGTTTTTCTCAATGAATTAGGATAAGTTAGCATTGTTCAATATACAGGGTGTCATCAAAGTTGGGACTTTCTTTTAGATATGTCTAAGATAACCGAGATATTGAGTTCCAGGAATGGTTTTCTCATTTTTTTTACTGTTTTCGGTGTTTTTTTGCAGCAAATCAGGTTTGGTATTGCAACTCTGAAAAGCAAAGTCCCAATTTTCAGGACTCTCTGTATAACATGTAACTAATATGAGAAGGCAGTTTCTCTTGTAAATCATGAAACTTTCGGTTAGGATTTTTAAGATTTTCCTTTTCGCTCTCTTCAAAAAATCTTTGGGGCTCTCACAGTCCCACGATGTTTTCTGTCGGAGCTTTTATTATTTTTAAAGTATTTCGGAAGCACGTATGTTAGTAATGATCTTCCCGGGAGAAATCCTTGCGGACGATCTTGATAGTTGGTAGGATAGTTGTCAAATATATAAAAAGATCCACCAATCACTGTCGCATCGGTAAGTGTGCCATATACAGGGTGATTCACAAGTCGTGACCCGTACATCATACTCAGGAGCGCATTTTAAGGGGGGTCCACATTCAAAAGTATTTACTTAAAATTAACGTCCATCAGTGGCGGAGATACAGGGGATTAGTTGCATTATTTTTCCAAATAAATATATATATATATATATATATACAGGGTGTCCCAGAAGTCGACGTCAAGCCGAACCCGGATGATAGGCAAAGTCATAACAGCTATCAGAAAAATATTTGAAAAAATTTTATGTATGTGTTTTGAAAATTATAGGTCTTTGAAGAAAATATAGAAATTTCACACCCTACGGCAGTCTCTCAACTTCTGTTACTACAAATATTAACTTTTTTTGGATTTTATTTTCACAATGTAATGATGAATAATGCATCTTCAAACTGGTGTCTCAACCTTACTGCCAACTTTTCTCGTTCAGGAGAAAAATGCCACTTATTTCACACACTTATTTCTAAAGTAAAACTTTGCTCAACTTTAACTGGCTGTACTGGAAAAAATGTACTACGAGAGTTTGGCAAGTATCCTTAAAAGTTGGCGCATTTAATAGCGATTCCAAAATGGTATAACACTTAGAAGATTACTCGTTAACTTATGCACAATTTTAATTTGAAGAAAAACTGACGAACATTTTTCAGAATTTCCTAATTAAACAGCGATTATGAAAACGCACAAGGACCCTTAAGGATAACTGTTTGCACAACAGTGGGCGTCAAAATGCTGCTGATGATGATTTACCTTTACAGCAAATGCTCAAACTGTTTTCTTTCAGCCGCAATACACGCTCGACATGTTCTTAAAAAAGATCGGGTTATTAAACGAGCGAATCCACGGTTATTAACAAACTCAGCTGCTTCCAATAGTCTTTGCCGTAGCTCAGCTACATTATGAATCGGCTTGAAATACACTTTTTCTTTTACAGTTCCCCAGTAAAAAAATCTAAAGGATTCAAATCAGGTGATCGGGCTGGCCACGGTATTGTACCAGACCGCCTTATCCATCTGCCTGGAAAGTTTTGATCGAGATACTCTCTCACTGAGAGTGCATAGTGCGCTGGGCAGCCATCATGCTGAAATCACATGTCCCTGTAAATACTCACTGGCACGTTCACCAATAAATTTTGTACATGATTTTTCAAAAAATCCAAATAAACTTCAGCAGACAAAGTCTCTGGGAACTCAAACGGACCGATTATTTTACCATTTGAAATTCCTGTCCAATGGTTTATCTTGAAGCGATATTGAGATTTATCTTCTCTCATCAAATGTGGGTTTGCTACGTGCCACTCGTGTAAGTTATGCAGGTTCATGTACCCATCTTTCTTAAATGTAGTCTCATCCGACCATAAAATTTTTTCAAAGAACTGTGGATCTTTCCTGTGTCTTTCTAACATTGTGCGACAAAAAGCAACTCGGGGCTCATAATCCCGGGGCAGGAGAGGTTGAACACGCTGTATGTGGTATGGATGAAGCACATCACTTACTTGCTATTGCACACTTTGATACCGATCAGTACTCTTTCGTTTACTGCGCATCTTTACATGTTCGTGCTTGTTGATTTCGTACTGTTACTAATTTTGGATTCGTGAACTGGACTGTTGGTCGCTTGGGATTTGGATTTCGACTGTTTAATTGCTCTTCAAAACAACATTTGCTTTCCTTAGACTATATTTGATAGTGTGATTGTGCAGTGCCGCTATGTCCGTGTACACCGTACAAGAATATGCACCTCATTTATGGGGAATGCAGATGCAACGCTAGCGCTGCAGCGAGACTTTACTGTGAGAGGTACCCGAATGCAGCTCGTCATCCAGATCATCGAGTGTTCAAAAATGTGCACCGCTTACTGTTCTCAGAGGGCCAACTACCAAACCAATCACACGGTGAGGGAAGATCTTTCTTTCCTTACGAAGACGTGGTGCTAGGAGCTGTCGAAGAAGACCCGAGTACTTCAGTGCGTGCAATAGAACTAAAAACAGGTGTGCCCAAAAGTACAGCCCATAGAATCTTGCAAAAAAAACGTGCTCCATCCATACCACGTACAGCGTGTTCAAGCTCTTCTGCCCCGGGATTATGAGCCCCGAGTTGCTTTTTGTCGCACAATGTTAGAAAGACATAGGGAAGATCCACGGTTCTTTGAAAAAATTTTATGGTCAGATGAGACCACATTTAAGAAAGATGGGTACATGAACCTGCATAACTTACACGAGTGGCACGTAGCAAACCCACATTTGGTGAGAGAAGATAAATCTCAATATCGCTTCAAGATAAACCATTGGACAGGAATTTTAAATGATAAAATAATCGGTCCGTTTGAGTTCCCAGAGACTTTGACTGCTGAAGTTTATTTGGATTTTTTGAAAAATCATGTACAAAATTTATTGGTGAACGTGCCAGTGAGTATTTACAGGGACATGTGATTTCAGCATGATGGCTGCCCAGCGCACTATGCACTCTCAGTGAGAGAGTATCTCGATCAAAACTTTCCAGGCAGATGGATAAGGCGGTCTGGTACAATACCGTGGCCAGCCCGATCACCTGATTTGAATCCTTTAGATTTTTTTACTGGGGAACTGTAAAAGAAAAAGTGTATTTTAAGCCGATTCAAAATGTAGCTGAGCTACGGCAAAGACTATTGGAAGCAGCTGAGTTTGTTAATAACCGTGGATTCGCTCGTTTAATAACCTTTCTTTTTTAAGAAGATGTCGAGCGTGTATTGCGGCTGAAGGGAAACAGTTTGAGCATTTGCTGTAAAGGTAAATCATCATCACCAGCATTTTGACGCCCACTGTTGTCGTTACCAAATGCGCCAACTTTTAAGGTTACTTGCCAAACTCTCGTAGTACATGTTTTTCCAGTACAGCCAGTTAAAGTTGAGCAAAGTTTTACTTTGGAATACTTGGTTGGGAAATAAGTGGAAATTTTTCCTGAACGAGAAAAGTTGGCAGTAAAGTTGAGACACCAGTTTGAAGATGCATTATTCATCATTACATTGTAAAAATAAAATCCAAAAAAGTTAATATTTGTAGTAACAGGAGTTGACAGACTGCCGTAGGGTGTGAAATTTCTATACCTTTTTCAAAGACCTATAATTTTCAAAACACATACATAAAATTTTTTTAAATATTTTTCTGATAGCTGTTATGACTTTGCCTATCACCCGGTTTCGGCTTGACGTCGACTTCTGGGACACCCTGTATATATATGCGGTCCTGTGTATGATGTTTCATTTTTGGTCACGACTTGTGAATCACCCTGTATATGTGGCGTGGCCCCAAACTCCTGAAGTACGCGGGTATACGCCGCTGAAGTGCCGGTAAGTGCGTTTACGCGGTATAGCAGTCAAAACAATTGCAATTTGCGTAGAAATCCCCATTAATCACGGGTATTTCGATATGCCAAGGTTGATGCTTTGATAGTTTGGTGCGTTCCGACGCGCAAGTGCGTGCAAATCGTAGGAAGCCTCGCGGAACCGCGAAAATCACTAAAGGAAGGCGGTAGTGTTTTCTGGCTAAGCGGTTTTCTCGACGTTCAAATGCTTCAAGCCAGCCAACCGTAGTTACGTCAAGATCCACAGGCGCGCATGAAAAAAAATTACCTAAGCTCAGCGACCAAGAAAATACAGCACCCAGTAAAAATTATTTTATTTGAATGAAGTCTTGTATAGAGCTAGGATGCTTTTTGCTAGTCGAGGTACAGTACTGTGTTTTTGGAAGCACTAAACTCCACCAGATTCTCCAATAGCATGAAAAATATTCATTGAATATTTAAAAAATATTAAAAATAATTGTGGTATATATATATTTTTACGATATTTTGTACAAACATTTAGAAAATATAAGAGGAAAGATTTTTAAATATCAGTTTTTTATTTTGAGGAAATATCTGATGTTTTTCATAAATATTTGGGAAATATATAAAACAACCTATTTTGAAGCAATAATCTGATTCAGTGTTATTGAAAATGCTTCATTGGTTATTTTAGCAAAACATGTAGGAATGCTTTTCTGGGTTTATGAAGAAAATCCATTCTAGATGTAAGAAATTGGTTTAATTTTCTGGAAAAATATCATTAAAAATATTCTAGACCTCTTCTACATCATTCTGATCCTTGTCCCTGAAAAAAAAAACAAACTTACTTATTATGAAGCATTATTGGATACATAAGCTGCTTTCCATTGTTTTTTTGCTTGAGAGTGATATTCTCCTGAGCTGCTCTAAAAAGTGTATATAGAGAATATAAAATGCAGTGGAAAAAATGGGTGCTAAGCATTGCTGAGCTACTCCGAGTGACTCAAGTTGGATGAAGCACGCTTTTCATGAAATTTTTTTTGATGTCTGCGGTATTGCCGGATTGGGCTCCGTATTTAGGGAAAAATATGAAAAGTGCAAAATTTATATTCATGTCTTAGATAATTAATGCGATACAAAAACGAAAAATTGAAACGAACAGTAGCCAAATAAAAACCGATTTTTGATAAGTATAACACAAAAAATTACAGTGGTGAACTAAGAAACAATTGTAGATAATTATAAAAAAAAAATAGAAACAGTAGTAAAATGAATGTAACGGCGATGCAATACAAAATGCAACTTTGGTATTGTAGAAGCGGATGGGCTATTATAATATCGATTGATTAAATTCCACATTCAAATGGTTTGGTTATCCTTCCGTAATTAGTGAATATTTAGTACCACCAGGCGTCTTTAAGCCATATGTATTTTGAACACATAGGTAGGTTTGAGAAGTGATCAGTCACCATCTCACAGTTCCTGCTTTGAAGCTGCATATCAAGGATCAAGGTACTGATTTGCCAACCTTTCTCATTCTTATATTCTTAAGCACTTGAGTCCTGGCGGCTCCCCACCACTACGACTACCTACTACTACCTCATAATGCATATTTTTTTCTATAATTGTTAGGAATCCGTTTTTAATGTACTACTGTGTTATTTTAGTTTTTTGTTTCTTTTTCGTTACTTTTTTTCATTAATATATGTATACAGGGTGACTTTGAAGTTGAGTCATTAATTTTCAGATAATGATTGTAGAAGGAAGATAAACCAAAATATGTGTGTAAAAATAAAAAAAAAATGTTACCTTGTTTTATAAAGTATCCTCCCGACAAGTATTTCAGTGCGGACCTGTATTTGATCGTGCGGTCTTGGAGCATCGGCATGCCCTCCCCTGTGAGGTCTTAAGTCACCTGATTCACGAGCCCTTTGTACTACATTAACAAAGGCACGAAGGGTTGGTTGCACTCGATTGGGAAACCGATCCGCATAAATCCGTGATGCCGCGTAAATAAGAATCATGTCCACAAGTTCAGCATTTTCGTAAACATGTGCCATTTTTGATTTCGTTTGAGCCACGCAACAGACACCACTATTCACTCACGCGTTAGCGACTGTCACTGACTGTATACAACTGAATAAAATAATTGTAAAAACATCGTTCCAAATTCTTTCGCTTTTTTGTTTCCGATGCGATGAACCGATAAGGCGGATTATATCCGTTGTTGCCAAACACGAGCACATAATATTATTATTGAGACAGGGCGGTACTCAAACTTCCAAAGGGCTATAACTTTGTTACTTTAATTTTACCGGAAAAATGGTAAAGGAAAAAAACATTTCTTTTGATCAGATCTACTCACTGTTGAAATAAATGACTCAACTTCGAAGTCACCCTGTATAAATTTTCCACTTTTCATATTTTACCCCGAAAGGCGGAGCTCAATCCGGCAACACCGCAGGCAAGCCCCTCTCATATGACATATGCACGAACGTCAAGGTCATATGACAGATGGCGGTCAAAATAATGTTGGAAACAGCTACTAAAAATACAGTGCTTTTGGGAAAATACATTTCATCCACACTTTTTTTTATTTCAAAATATCAGACTACCCTTTATAAGTTTCAAGTGAAAAAACAGTGAAATTCATAGTTCTACAAGAGGCAACGACACCTATGCAAATTTTAGGGTATGATATCTACTGGCTGGCCCTACTTGATAAACTGTGAAATGAATCGCTCAAAATATGGTCCTTCGAGCCGGATAATTTCTCCGCCGCTGATTTCCACCTGTCCGACCTTCGCCGAATGAGCTTGCTGGCTGCAAGAATGCGGAGAGCGTTAGTTTGTCAGCTCATAGCCGAGAGCCGAGCCCAGCCTACTTTGGCTTATTCGAATTCTTCGTCGCCGTCAGTTTCGCTCCAGCAGGCGTTGGAAACGCCGGGTCGACGATCTTCCTTCCGCCGGATTTCATTTGTTTTCATTCCGGTCGCGGTGTGCCAAGGAACAGTTTGACAGTTTCGCACGTGGACTTGGAAAGCACCGCTTGCTGTGCGCAAAGTGATACGAAAGTGACAGGTGTGTAGACGTTGTACAACTTTGTTTATTTGCGCAGAGTGAACGGCAGCATCAGTGTGTATAAAATACCGTGGGAAGATGAAATCCGTTATGGTTACGACGTTTATAGCAAGTAGCAGAAATACGATATGTGTAGAAATGATTTGAATACTCGATGAACGATTCGGGGTTACGAGTTTATTGTAAAACGGCGAATGGAGGTGTTGGTTTAACGTCCTTGGGGAAGCTCAATCTGCCTTTCGGCATTTTCCAGGCGTTCATTTATACAATTATGACGGATACCTTGCGGCCAGAGAGAAACCGATATGCAAAGCTTCTCTGGGAGGCCGTAGAACAGAAGTTTGCATAAAAGGGCAGCATGCCATCGCTGACCGAACGTTTCCGTCATATCAAGAGCAACGGCATGAGCCTCACCATAAGACTGGATGAGTTTACACTCTACAATTGCGTGACGTTCAAGGTACTCCGGAAGGCACTTCTACATTACCGTACTTATAACAGGAAGCAGAGCTATAGGCCTGTGGTTGTAGTGGTCAGTCTTAGATCCCATTTTTTGGGATGGGTCTGACATGAGCAAATTTCCAGTTTTCTGGAAAGGTGCCGAATTCGTAAGATATACGGAAGAGACGGGAACGAACTGGATTAAGCTCTTCAAAACAACGACAGGATACAAGTCCGAACCGGAAGCTTTGTTGATGTCGAGCATCAGGAGCACCCGTCTTACGGTCTTATGCCTGAATGTTGTAGTGGAATAAAAAACAAATGATCTATCACCTGGAAGACAAAGAAATATAAAATATACTAAGTGACATATAAATCCGAACACCCAGTTTAAATGGTTTTATTTTAATAAAATTTTGTATAAGTACTTAATGAAGCATAATAAGTAAATGATAAAAATTTCAAAATGATTGCACTGCTTTAAAGCCCTTTGACCTTTAATAATGTGTGGATGCACCCTGATATGCTACGCATTCTCCAACGCGCCTAGGCATACTTCTGATCAGGTGGTCAATGTCCTCCTGTGGTATCTCATTCCAGGCAACCACCAACTCCTCTCGAAGTGCTTCTAGAGTCTGAGGAGGACGTTGCAAATTGAGCAATCTCCTACCCATCATATCCCACACGTGCTCAATTGGGGATAAGTCGGGAGATCTTGGTGGCCATGGTAACAATGTGACATCATTATGTTGAAAGAAGTCTATTGTGACTCTTGCAACATGTGGTCGGGCAATATCTTGTTGGAAAGATGGATCTGCCAGGGTGTCACGATAGGGTAAAAGATGGGGTTCTAGAACTTCGTGGATATAACGCTGCGCGTTCATTTTACCTCTGATGAAGATTAAAGGTGACCTGGAACCATAAGCTATAGCACCCCAAACCATAACTCCAACAGTGTGATGAACATGTGTTTCAACAAAAAACTGTGGATTCCTCCTTTCACCACGTCGCCTTCTAACCCTGGCACGACCATCGTGCATGCCTAAACAAAATCGAGACTCGTCACTAAAGACAATACTGTTCCATTACTGATCCCAGAGTGACCGTTGTCTGCACCACTCAAGGCGATTACGTCGGTGTTCTCGAGTTAAAGGGAGGACCTAGTGTGGCCGGTACGAAAACAAGCCAAAACTTCTCATTCGTCGGTAAACACTTCGCATGCCAATAGGTCTTCCGTGTTCTGTAAACCATTCATTTGCAATGGACCTGGTAGTGGAGAAACGGTCCCTTAAGGCCAATAATCTTAGGCGGCGATCTTCACGGTCTGTTGTTCTACGGCGGCGTCCAGTGCCCCTTGCTCTTTGCGTACGGCCTTCTCGAAACCATGTCTGACAACACCTAACCACAGTGTCTTCACTTCTTTGCACTCTAACTGCAATTGCCCGAAAAGAAAGTCCAGCTTCCCGAAGTCCCACTATACGGCCCGTATCAAACCCACCAAGTTGACGAAATCGTACAGGTCTCCGTACTCTAGGCATCGTAACCGATCGTAAAGGATGTCGAGAACCAAAATCCGCCAACGTTGATTCTTTACTGCGGCTGAAATATTCATTTTTAGAGCGTTAGTGAATTAAAAAAAAGCAGTATAAAAACCGGAATGTCCAACTGATAAGGCTAAACATTTTTTCACTTGTTATTTACAGTAAGATAAATACATTCACCAACTTTTATTAAAATAAAACCATTTAAACTGGGTGTTCGGATTTATATGTCACTTAGTATATAAATATCCATTTTCTGGAAGAATAAATATTTGGGATACTTATTTTTTCGGTTAAGCAAATCAATCCTAATAATTGGAAAAATAACACAGAATTCTACCTACAAATGTCTCTTAAATGTGTATTTTCCTTGAAGAGATCTAATATCTCGTTTCTCATGTTTATATCTAGTGGATACATTATTTGCAATTCAATGTTTTCGTAATTTATTGCTCTCAAGAATTATGAAAATGCGTTAAAGTCCATTAATTCTCTGCGAGTTGCGTGCTAATTTAATTTAAAATATGTTTAATATATTTCGAATTTTTGTCAATAGACCCATTGGTAACAAATACAGAACGAACTACTCGAGATCGGTAAAACGACCACTTGCAATTACACGCCATTGTCGCATCCTGTTATCCCGCCAAAATGTGACCGCAGAGTGTGGTTTTTTGTACTTTGTTCTTCGATATACAGGGTGGCCCGAAAAAAGTGTGCAATATTCTACCAGCGGTTTCTAGAGCTTAAAATAGGAAGAAAAGTTTATATAAGTATAGGTCGACAAACGTCCCCTAAGGGCATTTTTGTATGATTCTATTTTTAAAATTCAATTTTAGAATTTGAAAATTCATAGTTTTCCACATAAAAAAGGTACTCTCATTGAATATCGATAAATTGTGCCATGGCAACGAAAAAACTAATTTAATAATTGGTGAATATTACATAAATACATATTTCTATTGCAACATAGCTAACATTTAGGCAAAAACAAAAGAAATAAATTTTTTCTACGAACGAAATTGAAATTTGTTTAAAAAAGAAGACATACAGTTGGATATACTTAAAACTAGCTTTACAATAAGTGTTCAAATAAATTCCCATTTTGTTGGATACAGAGTCTCGCTCGACGAACTATAATGATTGCTTAGCCCGAAAAGTGGAAAACCTTTTTCTTCTTATTTCATTTGCAGCCTGATGGATTCTTTGAAGTAAATCTTCTTGAGTATTTACTTCAGTCGAGTAAACTAGGTCTTTTAATGACCCCCAAAAATAGAAATCCAATGGATTTAGGTCAGGTGAACGTGGCGGCCACGCTATAGGACCTCCTCGGCCTAACCACCTGTCTGGAAAATTGACTTTCAACCAATTTCGAACATTGCGTCCAAAATGTGCAGGGGCGCCAGCATGTTGAACAAACATATTTTCTTGAAACTACTGGCGCACAATCAATGGTATTATATCTATGAGCTCATTCTGAAGAAAGTTCAGATACACCTCTGAATTAACACGATTGGAAAGTACAATAGGCCCAATTACTTGATCCCCAATTACTCCTGCCCATAAGTCCAATGAAAATCTATGTTGGAATTTTGTACGGCAAACAAATTTTGGATTTTCATCTGACCAAAGATGCATGTTATGGAAATTAAAAGCACCATTCCTAGTAAATATTGACTCATCCGGCCATTATATTATTCTATATATATAGAAATAGTGTTTTCATTTGCACATTTTTTTCGGGACACCCTGTATATGATTCAGGTTTGAGCGCCACCTAGTTCCAAGAACTAGAAAAAAGAAATAACAACTGTTGCCTTCCGGCCTATCAAAACTAAAATTGACTGCCAAATGATGGGTCTCTGGCGCTAAAGGAAACACTAATTCGCTAGGCACAAACATTTGTTGAACATTTAAAAGAAGTCCTGGGAGACAAGCAACAGGAAATTAATTGGGACTACGCCCCAGCTAAATGGTTTCCAACAAAATCACCTTGGCAGGTGCTTGGTTATTACAGAATGGTGGGATTGATTCCCACTCAAGAGAAGGGATAGCTGTTATGGAGCCTCTCGCAGCAAATACTACCAAAATGGAACCTCCGAAGCAAAGGTATCCAAGGGTAGGAAGTCCCAGATGCGAATCAGAACCCTCGATCAATGAGGGTCACGAAATTGGGGGCCTACTCCTCACATACTAGAGTCCTACTTAAAGATCGCTTTGGAGTGTCAATGCAGACATTTCCCCTCAGCATGATGGTTTAGGTGTAGCTGTAACAACGGCTTACTCCCCAAGAGGGTGAGAAAAGGGCCCCGACAACAAAATTCACCAATGGAGGCCGATGCCTATCAAAATCTGCACAACCCGGCAAGCTGCAACACTGGGTGTGAAATGAGGGCTCCGGAAATAGCACCAAGTCACCTTCAGCTCTCGTATCCACGGTCGACAGAAATTATAAAAAATGGCCTTCAACGAGATGGAGAGTAGAGTACGATTTTCTACCATAGAATTATTAGAACAAGTGAAGTGTTTTGCTAGAAAAATAAAAATTCAACATTTTTAAGAGCTGTTATAGAATTATTATTCCAAATAAGAAAAAACTTGTCCAGAAAGCCTCCTAATTGAAGTCATAATCTACCAATGTCAAATATCTAGAAGCTGTCCAATGCGCTGGTTAGCATACTCAGCAGTCACAGATAAAACTCGTCAATAAAGTCTATTCCCCATGTTTCGTGGTCGTTGTGGGCCTCGGTGCCAAAATACAAGCCAAAAAAGTGTTAGTGACAATATATACTAAGTGACATATAAATCCGAACACCCAGTTTAAATGGTTTTATTTTAATAAAAGTTGGTGAATGTATTTATCTTACTGTAAATAACAAGTGAACAAATTTTCAGCCTTATCAGTTGGACATTCCGGTTTTTATACTGATTTTTTTTTTAATTCACTAACGCTCTAAAAATGAATATTTCAGCCGCAGTAAAGAATCAACGTTGGCGTATTTTGGATCTTGACATCCTTTACGATCGGTTACGATGCCTAGAGTACGGAGACCTGTACGATTTCGTCAACTTAGTGAGTTTGATAGGGGCCGTATAGTGGGACTTCGGGAAGCTGGACTTTCTTTTCGGGCAATTTCAGTTAGAGTGCAAAGAAGTGTAGACACTGTGGTTAGGTGTTGTCAGGCAAGGCTTCGAGAAGGCCGTACGCAAAGAGCAAGGGGCACTGGACGCCGCCGTAGAACAACAGACCGTGAAGATCGCCGCCTAAGATTATTGGCCTTAAGGGACCGTTTCTCCACTACCAGGTCCATTACAAATCAATGGTTTTCATAAGCGTGTTTACCGACGAATGAGAAGTTTTGGCTTGTTTTCATACCGGCCACACTGGGTCCTCCCTTTAACTCGAGAAGACCGACGTAATCGCCTTGAGTGGTGCAGACAACGGTCACTCTGGGATCAGGAATGGAACAGTATTGTCTTTAGTGACGAATCTCGATTTTGTTTAGGCATGCACGATGGTCGTGCCAGGGTTAGAAGGCGACGTGGTGAAAGGAGGAATCCACAGTTTTTTGTTGAAAGACATGTTCATCACACTGTTGGAGTTATGGTTTGGGATGCTATAGCTTATGGTTCCAGGTCACCTTTAATCTTCATCAGAGGTAAAATGAACGCGCAGCGTTATATCCACGAAGTTCTAGAACCCCATCTTTTACCCTATCTTGACACCCTGGCAGATCCAACTTTCCAACAAGATAATGCCCGACCACATGTTGCAAGAGTCACAATAGACCTCTTTCAACATAATGATGTCACATTGTTACCATGGCCACCAAGATCTCCCGACTTATCCCCAATTGAGCACGTGTGGGATATGATGGGTAGGAGATTGCTCAATTTGCAACGTCCTCCTCAGACTCTAGAAGCACTTCGAGAGGAGTTGGAGGTTGCCTGGAATGAGATACCACAGGAGGACATTAACCACCTGATCAGAAGCATGCCTAGGCGCGTTGGAGAATGCGTAGCACATCAGGGTGCATCCACACATTATTAAAGGTCAAAGGGCTTTAAAGCAGTGCAATCATTTTGAAATTTTTATCATTTACTTATTATGCTTCATTAAGTACTTATACAAAATTTCATTAAAATAAAACCATTTAAACTGGGTATCCGGATTTATATGTCACTTAGTATATTTTTGTAAATAATATTTATTATAGTTTGAAGTAGCTTAAAGCTAAATAAATCCTTTCTATTCTAGCAGTAGAGTAAAATTCTAAGAAAACGGTGTAAAACAACTTTGGCGCAAAGTTTTACGTTTAAACTGTGAAAGAAGTTCTGCCAGTTCCTGTTCACAGAAAAGAGTAAAAAGACTCACAAGCGAGGGTAAGTGGGGTCGCGCCTATCACTGAGAGACGAATTTAGTTTTGTATACATTATACGAGATTTTTAAGATGATAAAATTTTCTACCCCCGATTTTTGGGAGTTGATACATAAAATTATATTATGCAAAATATTTATATTCTGTTGCAATAGAATGTCTTGAAAATACCCCATTACGACCTCTTCGGCTGCATCATGAATTAATTCATGTTTTCTTTGAATAAATTGAGGCTAAACAAATTGGTGTTATTAACATTTTGTCACGGTTATAGAAGATATGATTAGCACGACCGTGCAAAAATTGCTGAATGTAAAATGTGTAATCTGCCGTGACGGCGCAATTTTTTATTAATAGCAAATGATAATCGATAAAGGTTCCAGATGTAACCAGCAAACAATAAGGAAAACGGTTAAAAGCAACCTCTTCGACTGTATACAGTCGTTGGTAAGTTGAAAAATATTGTTTCATCTCGAACTGAATCAACATACATGGACAACCTTTTTAAGCATTATTGCTGCAACAATATCACGATTCTTTAATTGGTGACCTTCACTTTTATGTTATGCATTAAAATCTCACCAAGATGCTTAGGAGTAAAGCAATAAAGCAAGTCATATTGCTAGTGTAACATCTGAAACCTTATCCTGTGATATTAGAGATATAATTATCTATATTTGAGAAATACATGTAGAATTTCTCATGTATACTAAGTGACATATAAATCCGAACACCCAGTTTAAATGTAGTAAATGATAAAAATTTCAAAATGATTGCACTGCTTTAAAGCCCTTTGACCTTTAATAATGTGTGGATGCACCCTGATGTGCTACGCATTCTCCAACGCGCCTAGGCATGCTTCTGATCAGGTGGTCAATGTCCTCCTGTGGTATCTCATTCCAGGCAACCACCAACTCCTCTCGAAGTGCTTCTAGAGTCTGAGGAGGACGTTGCAAATTGAGCAATCTCCTACCCATCATATCCCACACGTGCTCAATTGGGGATAAGTCGGGAGATCTTTGTGGCCATGGTAACAATGTGACATCATTATGTTGAAAGAAGTCTGTTGTGACTCTTGCAACATGTGGTCGGGCATTATCTTGTTGGGAAGTTGGATCTGCCAGGGTGTCAAGATGGGTAAAAGATGGGGTTCTAGAACTTCGTGGCTATAACGCTGCGCGTTCATGTTACCTCTGATGAAGATTAAAGGTGACCTGGAACCATAAGCTATCGCACCAAAAACCATAACTCCAACAGAGTGATGAACATGTCTTTCAACAAAAAACTGTGGATTCCTCCTTTCACCACGTCGCCTTCTAACCCTGGCAAAACAAGCCAAAACTTCTCATTCGTCGGTAAACACTTCGCATGCCAATAGGTCTTCCGTGTTCTGCAAACCATTCATTTGCAATGGACCTGGTAGTGGAGAAACGGTCCCTTAAGGCCATTAATCTTAGGCGGCGATCTTCACGGTCTGTTGTTCTACGGCGGCGTCCAGTGCCCCTTGCTCTTCGCGTACGGCCTTATCGAAGCCATGCCTGACAACACCTAACCATAGTGTTTACACTTCTTTGCACTCTAACTGCAATTGCCCGAAAAGAAAGTCCAGCTTCCTGAAGTCCCACCATACGGCCCCTATAAGTTATCTTTCAATGTACCAGTTTGGAATCATCACAACAGAAACTGGATTTAAGCTATTAAAAATGTAATTTCTATCCTAATTCACGAAATTAAATATTAAACGTAGTTGGAAAACCAGAATCGTGTGATAATGTAATTGTGTGACAATGTGTGACTTCCCATTGCTAAGTGTTCAAAGCTCGTTTAAAACAATGGGTATCGTACAAGAGACCATGAAGGTCTTTTTTTAGTGATAAGGTCTCTAATAAATGATAATTATTTAGGAATTAACAGTTTCGTCATTTACGTTACAAATTGCAGTAAAATACTACCTTCTGTTGTCATGTGTGGCTTGCATTGTCCTGCTGATGCCATAATTATAGGTATATGTATATATTTCGCAAGGGCATTGAATAAACTTGAACGAGACAGTGTGTTATTTCCAATAAGGGACGAATGTCTTATCGGCAGTGGACTGTAAGAATTCTAACCATAAGATCGAGCGACTCTTCTTTTAGCCTTCGACGATCTCCCAGCCTTGCGAGGTGATGCAATTTTATTTCCCACGCCACTGGCGAGGAAGTATAATCGCAAAAAAATCGGAAAATCACGCACATTAACGTTAGTCAGTCTATTTGTCGGTTTGTCAACTAATTTTATAGCCGCCTATAACATGAGAAGTAACGCTCGGATTTTGATGAACTTTTCACACATGGCTATTACTTTGACAAGGATAAAAAAGCTTTTTAGTTTTTGAAAATCGGTCAAGTGGTAACGGATCTAGAGGAAGAAACACGAAACAGTAAAAATCGCCTAAACTTGTACCTGGATTGTCTGACTCAAAAATATTATCTCCTGATGCAGATCTAGTTGTAGATCTTGCAACATCAAAATATAATCAACTTTTTGTGGACAACACATTATCTGGATAACTACAATATCTGCTTCTGTAAGCAGTAGGTCACTTTAAGCATCAGTTTCACAACCGAGTAAGATTGCGCTACAAATTACCTACCAAATATGGTACCCGCATTTCAATTATTAGTCTGGTACCATTTTTTAACGGAGACCTTGCAGAGGTACTGAAAAAGTAAATGACATATCTCTTTTTTCGTCTTGCGGAATGACCTAATAATCAATTAAATGATAAATCATATTTTGCCACAAGGCTGGGATTGGTTTAATAATACATGGATTATTTGATACTCTTGATGTGTTTGATCATGCGTTTAGAAAACACTATAATTTACATTATCAACTGAATGAATTGGTTAAAACGCTTTACGACATCATTAAACCCTTTGTATAGGACTGAACGTCGAACCAAAGAATTCTTACGAATTGGGAAAAACCGTTTTTTGCGAAAATTATAGCATTGTCACTAAATAATATACAGGGTGGCGTATCGAAAACAGATGCACTTACTGGCAGCTCAGTTTTTTTTAAAAACGCTCGATTTTGTTTACGAGGGGGACACAAGTTTGGCAAAAAATCACGTTAGCACGTGCAGCCCCCTAAGCGGGGGTGACACCACCCCCAAAATCTTAAATGGAAAGTGGGGACGAGTGATACCTTATTTAAAATTGTAATCGCCGATCAAAATCGTCTTCATTCAGTTCTTGTACCAGGTGAATTTTATACGGATGAAAACTATGGGCCTTTAGAATCCGTTGGACAGTAGGTTGACTAACACCACACACAGTCTCCAATTCGCAATGAAGACAAACGAGTTAACACAAATTCTATGATCTATTGCGGTATAGTCAGCAAAAAAAACAAACACTTTAACTCTTTACAAAGTGGGTATATGAATTCATCATTATATTCTGCTACTGTCTCATAGATGGCGCTGGAATTACTCAGCTACCCAACGTTATAACCAACGGTCATTTGAGGTCTATCAAATATCTTCGTGGTATATGAAGATAGCTGAAAAAGCAGTAAAACATTTTCACATACTTTTGTGCTAATTAGAGTATCGATGGGTATAGGCATGTTACAAAATTCAGACTGTGCGATGCGGTGCTTTCTGATAAACAGAAGCTCATTAAAATAACTATCACAGTAACCTTACATAACTAATAACGTCGATATCTACCTTTTGACTTTCTCTTCTTCCATACAAGTGACGTAATCATAATATATTCAACCTGTATACTGTTTAGTCGTATTGGTTTCTTTCATGCGTACACAAATATCTACACGTTATTAAAGGTGCATACTTTGATTTACCGCTTTTCCAAGTATCTGGTTTTCAAGGTTAATTACTTGATTATGTATTCGCTATTTTGTGTAACAGCTTTGATGTTGAACGCGTGAGTTCTCATATCTTTATGCGGGAAGCTTTGAAAGTGTTGATTTTTGATGCATCTGTCCGTGATCAGAAAGGTATCCAGCAGATTGCTGGTATCGGGTTTTCCAATAGGGACTTGACAACTTTGAACTTTCACTGTGAATGCACCGTTGAATCAATTGCCGCATTGTCAATGACAAAAAATTCAGTAAAAAAAACATGATCATCATGGTAAAGTACACGAACGAACAACGCTTACACAAATAACACTGGACAACAAATTTTAGTTTTTTAATTGTATCTTGTTGGAAAAGTGCACTTTTTTGTTAATTTTGGGGCGCTGAATCCAAAAATGACAATGAAATAAAAAAAATAGTTGCGGTTTAGAAAAAAAACTTTTTATTTTTAAGGATATATTAAAAAAAGTAACAAGATTCATATACCTATAAGAATCACTATATACGCTGTCTTTTTGCTGTTCTTTTATGGATCGTTTCTGGAGCATCTCTACCAAGAGTCCAACAGTAGTCTGCAAGCATGGAAGGATTCCACTTTCCCTGGTACCTTCTTTTCATTGTTGAAATATCCTGATGAAAACGTTCACCGTGCTCATCACTTACGGCTCCTCAATTGTCAGGAAAAAAGTCCAGGTGTGTGTAGGAAATGTATCTTAAGAGACATATTACAGCCCATCTTTTGATACGATGACAGCATATTTTTGACAAGGGTTTTATAGTTGTCATCTTTTCTGTTTCCCAAGAAATTAGTGACCACCAGACGGAAATCATTCCAAGCAGTTTTTTCAATACCTGTTAAAGTGTTTTCAAACTGTGTATCTTTCAAAATATTTCGAATCTGTGGCCCAACAAAAATACCGTCTTTAACCTTTGCCTCACTTAGTCTTGGAAATTTCTGACGCAGGTATTGAAAAGCTGACCCATCTCTATCTAATGCCTTGACAAAGTTTTTCATTAGGCCCAACTTGATATGCAGTGGTGGTAATAAATTTTTTTTCGAATCTACTAATGGCATATGCTGTACATTTTTTTGACCTGGCTCTAGGAATTGACGAACAGGCCAGTCTTGTCTGG